TATTATTATTATTATTATTATTATTATTATTATTATTATAAAACGCTTTATGGTCTAATTTCAATTTCGTTTTTACTTTATATCGTATACTAACTTTAGTGCACGTATAAATTTATAGTTACGGTTATGAAGTTATTGAAAATAATCATTCGTTCTAATTAATCTTATGCTAAATAAGTGTCAATGCGGCGAGTGTATTCATTCTTAACTTCAGAAATAAGCATTGTGCTTTTGTAATGTCATATATTTGCGCCCTATGACTCATATTTTTAATAATTCTTTTGTTTTGGCTTCAATACTCAAACGTTAAATTGTGATGGATTTACACCGGCTATCTTGTAAGTTGGTTACACAAAAAAATCTAAATATTTTTATCTTTTTCACTTGAAATATTTTCAATCTATCCGCCTGCATTTTGACTAATTAAGTAATTACATGGTGGTTTACACTACTGATTGATATGAATGGTACTCGTGTCGATCAGTAGTACTTGCTTACCAGGTCGGTGTGATCTAAAAACACCGGATGACATTTTCACTCGTTTGGAGCTGAACTCATCAATGGTGTGTACCCGGTTGGACTCCGCTTTGAGAGTCATTGTTGTTGAGATCACTTTGATCTGCTTAACAATCCCTACTGGTTGACATCAGTGACTCTTCTGATTACTCTTATCAATTATTAGTATGCACCGTCATGTGTTTATGCTTGCTTTCTAGTTTGCCAAGTATAGTATCATACAGATCATATATTGTGACCTGAATATTTCGGATTTGTAAAAGAAACCCTGTGAATTTTAAAATCGAACTGTGCAAGTGTCAAATTGATTATTCGATCCTAAATGAAGCGGCTATCCTGAAATACTCATGAAATCCTCAAACGATTTGAAAAGGCTTATTTTTCTAGGGTTGTTTTTATTGATAATTGGAATTTTATGGTTATTCCTTCTATTTCTGTGACAGGAAGTCATCTTTAAGGAGACCTACGGATTATCTCATCATGTAAACAAGCTACTCACTAGTGATCTGTTTTTTACTTTTCATACAAGCTCCAGTCGACCACTTAAATGGCTCGTACATCTTACCCTTACAACGTATTTTTGATTTGAAAGTAAATCGTCATCCATTTCGTTGGTATAGCATTGCAAAGTGTGAAAAGGTTTTCATTTTTCTATATGTTTATTTGTATTTGAATCTGTGTTACAGATTTTAGTGGAGTCATACATATTAACTCTCATGCATTCACCCTAGAAATATTCACGAAAAGACGCCTTTGTAACATCAGTTACTGACTTTTTATTACTATATTGACAGATAGAGATTAACGCAGCGTCAATAGCAAAGTAGTTGATAGGTCTCCGTAGTCACTGAAGTACATAATATCATTAAGTTTTGTGCTTTCCGTTATTCAGCTACAGTCGATCAATAGGTAAGGTAACAACTGGGTTATTTTTATTTATTTTTTTTGAAGGAATCATTAACAAAGTATGTTCGAGTTGTAGACAAATAGAGCCATTCAGTCCTGTATTTAGGTATTGTAATAAACTGAACACCTTATCCCTATTATGCATGACGGTAGGTCTTAATAGCACAGTGGCAACAATCCATGTTATGTATGCAAAGATTCTAGGAAAATTACAATGGGTTTGCCGCTTGTATAAGTTAATGATGGTTTTGTTGTTCTTCTTTTTCCCTACTTTCCGACTATTTCTTGTTTCTTCCTTTGATTTTCCCCTGTCTTTCATTTTGGTTCTCTGGTTTAAAACTGTGCTATCTAATAATAGATGCACCTTTCTTTTAGAGTTTATTTCTATCTGCCTTGATGTTTCTTTTTAATCTACAAATGCAATATACTGATCATTATGGTGTAGGAAAGTATATAGGTCTCCTGTTTGATTTTGTTCGTCAGAAGTGTATACTGACTTCCTGAATTTGTTAGATTGCATATTTGGTCACTAAATTCCAACCCAAGTGGCTGGATGGTCAATGAGATTGGTCTGGTAACTTGAAGGTTCCAGTTTCGATCCCCGATGGAGTCGTTGCTGGGCACTGATGAAGAGTTCCAGACTGCGGGATGAAACAACTGTCCAGTGCTCCCTGGTTTTTGATGTTCTCTAACTGATGCGGGTTCGTGACGAAATCTACACTGATATTTTATTGTCATATTTCTTCGCCCTTTTATGTACTGATGATATTTTCGTTATTATCTTGTTTTTTGTTGAAGTGTGGAAGCTTGCATAGATGGGTATTTATTAATATTCCCATCATACTTGCTGTTTTGTAAGTTGAGAGTTAAGGATGTTTCGAAATTAATGCAAAGGTGTAGTGAATTTGAATGTGACTTTACTTTTTTTAACTGGAAATATTTTGATTACCCTACCTCCTTGCGTGTTTATTTCACTGAAATTGGAATTAAGTCAGTAAATCTTCATTTCTCAAATATATGGACTAATTTTCATGAAATCGATTGTGTTGTTATGTTAAGTGATTACATCATATTGAGATTATAGGGTTTTTCTACTACCAACAATCACATAAATTCTAGTTAATACGCCAAAATACTACGTTTTAGTAGTTAAACGGAAGGAATTTCATAACTAGGGCTTGGTAATTTTCTAGCCTTCATCAGCTTGGCATTTCTGAAACTTTCAAGAAATTCATGTTTCGTCATTAGGCTACCTGTGTTACAATTGATGTCCTGCAAGACTTCTTGATTAGTGAATTCCTTATCGGATAGTATTCATTTAATCTGATCCCAGTCTTCCAAGTCTTACCTTCTTCAAATATGTTACATTTGTATATTGCTTAGCCTTGCTAATTTGTTCTAGTTTTCACTAGTCAAAGTTCCATTTGGTTCTATGCAAAATATACATGTAATACAACCCTGTGTTACGCTGTTTTGTCCATCTCACTTGTATATTGTGTGTTGTTTCATGAGAAGTTTCGTATTCAGTATTTTTCTTGTATTTATAAAAGTCAGCTTGTATGTTATGGAAGGCAAGCTTATGAAGCTGGTTAAGAAACTATGCTCCTTAGCCTCTCTACACTTCTTTTCCCACCCTGTTGTTTTTCTGTACAAACAACGCATTCCGTTAGGTAGTGATTTGACATAAGTATATATGCTGTTCACTTCACAATCTCATCGAATGGTTTCTGTTTAAAAACTGATACATGCGTGTGCTGCTCTTATTGTATATCTTATCTGAATTTGTTCTTAATTGCCTTATCCAACTTTAATGATTTTATGTCTCAAGTGGTTTAAGTCGTCGCGTTGCAAATTGTAATTCAGTACAATATAGTAGTAATACTGATGACATCAGTAGCTTATTTTAGTAACCATATGTTGTATTGTGATCCAAGATTGTTGTGTCTGTTGTATAAAATAATTGTAGACAATTTTTAAAAATTCTCTACTTTAACTTAACAGTAGTATATCTAAATCACTATTATTCTAAATTTTGTCATCTGCCGTTAACAGTTAGAGTGAAATTTTCTTGAGTTCTTTTTTGTATGACATTGTCATCAAACATTATGTGAAACAAGCACTAATCGTACAACAATATTTTTACATGTAGTTATTCATGCAACTTAAAATGAGTTCAAATGTCTAGGGTTAAAGGTTAAATTGGTACTGACTAGTCAATTATGGATTCACCAGCTCCTCTGTTTGATCAATTTTCAAAATATCAACTGATTATTGTCAAGGAACAAAATGTTTGTAGACAGTATTCACTTGTTTTTTTTAGTTTGTTCTTGTATACAACTAGATGGAAAATTGTTAAAAGCTGTTATTGTGATGTTACATATGAGATTAGTTCGAAGTATAATATAATTATTCACACGGGAAAATGAGTCAAAGTTTCAGACGACTTTTAGCCTCTTTTTTAGAAAGACTCGCACATTCACCGGCGGGTAGTATAAAAGAAGTCAGGTTTATAGAAAATAAAACTGCATTATTCATAACTTAGAAACCAGCTTTGATATCTCTTGATGTTCATATTGTACCAAGGTTGTGTTTTGATATTCAAGTTATGTAGAAATCACAATTTATGGCTCAAGTCATCATCAATTTTTATTTGCATTGTGAAGAAGAGGGCGAGGATGTTAGAGAAGACAGAAAGACAGCTTACAGGTCTATATAACATCCCAAGAATTTGTGGTTGATAAAGTTGAAATCAGCCTATAATCATTATTTCCTAAAGTTCCGAGTGGGGGACGTAAGGCTTGAATAGCACATTTCCACATCATCCTGTTCCTTTCAGGCCTCTTTAGCTGGCCCCATGATCGCGCATAAGCTCTCATTTCTTCTTCACACGATCTGCTCCATGTCATCCTCGGACGCCGGTCTCTTTGTTTCCTCACCGTGTACTAAATCCTGATAAAAAGGGAAGATTGAGTGTGAGGCTAGAAACCCTACTCCGGATAATCAATCCAACGCATAGAAATCAGCTTATTGAGCTGAAATCGCTAATATAAGCGACTATGTATTTGATATAATCAAAATCAAAATACTCTTATGAAGGGAGTGAGAGTCTGATCACACTCTCCTTCTGCCCACACAAGCCAATGTTTCATCGTAATAAACCCAGAGTTCTCTGCAATTTTTGTCTTTCTCGCTTTATCAAACCATATCCTTCAACTTGTTTATCCTTGATTTATCTTCAAGTGAATTTCAGCTGTCTACGTGAATCATACGTGTAACTGAAAGATTCATTGTAGTCACCTACATTTATTTTTCTAAAACGCTGAATTTTCCTCGTTTTTATTCACAGTTAATAATATTTGTGTCAAAATGTTTGTCTGACGAAGTTGAATATTTAATGGTGGCATTTGTTACACCTCAAAATTGAATGATGAATGCACTTTGAAAATGATATTTTCCTATTTTCTATTACCATAAGTCTGTTTAAGCTTAAATTCATATAAAATAACTGATAAGGTTCATTTCGTAAACATATTCGTTACCATTTTGAATGTTTTCCTTTGTTTTTTTTTTATATATAGGAGTCTTACGTGATTTAGTTCGTACCTCTGCAGTTGTTGCTAAACCTGCAAGACCAGCACATCCAAGTAATCAACCTATTCCTGTAGTAAATCAGTCTACAGTAGACCAGTTAGTTAGTTCATCGACTTCATCATTCATTCATTCAAAAGATATGAGTAACTGTGACAATAATACTCCTACTACTACTAATAATAATTCTCAAATATCTGATGAAAATATACATTCCACATCAACTACAAAAATTGCCAATAACCTGATAGGTGATAATGAAGAAAATCAAAAGCTCAAAAATATTACCAATGATAAAACTAATGATTTACTAACTGATATAGCTCGTGCTGCATATAACCGGAGTTCTTCTACACCTTGTAAAGAATTCTCTAATAATACTAGTGATATCAATAAGTCTGGACAAGTACAGCCATTACACCAACAAAATAAAAGTTCCACTAATGGTCATTATTATTTAACGCCTGTGTCACATGATGATAATTCAGCTATCGATTTACCTGCCAGTCAGGTAATGACATCTAATGACGCTACTGCCATCACTACAGATACCAATGATGTTAGTCAACCATTCACGCGTAATTCACTTTACGCTACATTTAATAAGGTAAGTTCTATTAAAGTCGCATATATATATATACACGTATAAATATTGAATTGATTTCAAAGCACTACATATCTTTGTATAGGCAGCGAAATAACTAAAACAGTTGTCAAATAAATGTACTCCTCAACACAAGTAATTGCTGCTGTTTATCGGCTCTAGAAAGTGGTTCTGAAACTCTAGTCATAGGATTCTGAACAGCCATAGATATTTTAACCTGCTATGATGTTTTAGGTATTCATAGCATGGAATTACTTGTGTTCAGTGTTAATAAATGAAACACTTAGTGGTTGATGTTTCTAGTTCACTATAGTGTTCATTTGCTGTTAAGATACGTGGGTGGCAGTACTATGAGCTGCTTCTGTTATTATGAGACTACGGATAAGTTAATTATATCTCCTCAGTGAAAACACTATCGCTCAATACCAGGAATACTGATACATCTACCTATTGAGTCCCAAAAAGCATGGAACGCACGTCCTTGATTGGACTACTCGAGCCACCATCAAGCGAATAACTGCTTACAAAGCCTAGTCCATTTTAATTGATTAAAAATGCCCATTAAATTTTCAAAAGAATAGACAGGGAACAAAGAGTACTCTTTTCGATAAATTCATCATCAGGTTCTACAATTATATATACATTATAATGAATGAATGAATTAGTCTTATGAACGACATTAATGTTTAAATAACATCAAACCAATAATATTGATAAATTACAGCTGAACAGCATCAACATCAAATAAACTGAATGTCAGAAGAATTAGGAAAGGTAATGGTACAAATTCATGAGTTTATAGTCTCTACTGAGGGCCAGGGCAGTAGTAGGGGCTGGACTTGTTTCTTTTGGACACAGAGCGCTGGTTGTTTGAGGCGAATTGCAATAGCCTCTGCTGTTTGGAGCATGCGGTGCTTCGATGATTTTGGTAGTTTGTTAGGCACCCGGTATATTATGGAGAAGGATTCGTCTACGCTGGCTTTGTGACCGGTTTGCACCAGATGGTCTAATATCGAGCTGTTAATAGTTTTGACTACACCTTTACTTAGCCATAGTGGGATATGTTCTCGAGCACGAAAAACCAAGTTCCTAGAGCAACGGCCAATATAACTCGCTCCACAAGCGCAGTTGAATTGATAGATGCAATTTGAAGTGGCCAATCTAGGTACTTCATCTTTCAGTCGAGGTAGCACCATCGGTCTTGTAGAGAATAAGATGTGTAGTTCGCCAGCATTAAAAGTCCTTTGAACTGATTTTCTTAATTTCTTTGTAATTAACTCACTTGGTATATCGCCCATGAACTGCAGTCGTATATAAAGTGGCTTCTTTTTTACAGTCCATTTATCGTGGAAACTATTGACTGGCGTGTTTTGTCTGACCACTTTGTAGTCTATCTTAATCACATCTTCACAAAATTCTTCCTATATGTACGTGCCAAAGCAATTACATTGAAGGGACAATGAGAAGGGTTATTGTCTGCATTTCTGAACACATACGAAAAAACCTCAGACTGAAGGTCTCATAGGTATTAAGTAATGCGATTGTGCGCCATCTATTAGACACGGGTCATGTTGTGGACAATCTGAAGGCTTTCAAAATAATCAACGGGAAAAAGAAACGTTGCTTGCCAAGTTTTACTGGGGCAATCGCCATCAAATGATTAAAACTAAACCTATGTACATAGAAAGAGACGGTGGTGAATCTCGTACTACCTTGGTGATAACAAGGTATACAAGTTTGATTACGTCATCATCTGTCATTTTTAGAAACCTTGGTCTTTCATCTAAACATTACTCACCCTACCCTCTTCTTTGCCATCTAATAAACATATTTTCTGTGGTTATGTAACCTATTAGTTGTTATACTATTTCTAGTTAAACTTTGTTTCTACCGATGTTGTACTCTGTCTTTTTGTTTCTAAGCATATTCGCCTAATTTTCCTATAAATAGTCGATCCTTTTCACTCGTAATTATTTAAAAACTTACATTACTCCGGACTAATGGTATTCTTAGTTCCTGTCACTTACCCCTTGTTATCGCGAAAAAACAATGTTTAAGTCTTCAGTGTAATTTTCGAAAATTGTAAGGATTAGATTTGTTTTTACGAGTTGTATTCTTCAGGTTGTAGCCAGTTGAGAAGAATCCAGAGAATAATAAAAAAAAGAGGTCATATTATCCTGGTACATTTATCGTTCTTGCGTTGTTCAAGTCAATCGCATCTATTTTTACAAATATGCGACACCGAATAATATGGCAGTTTCCCCCCCCTCATATCCTTAATTTGGCGTCTTTCTAACTATCACCTAGCCGTACGATGGAATCTGATTTCTAAGAAATACACTTTAAAATCGTCTTTCAAAGTTATTTTGTAATCGGTTACAAGATTTCATCACTGGAAAACCTGGGAGTACTGGACAGCCGTTTTGTCTTTTTTTTGGTACTCTTCGTTAGAACTCACACATCGGGGTTTGAACCCAGGACCTTCTGGTTACAAGGCGAGCTCGTAGAACATTAAGCCACTGCCACCCGGTTAAATGGCCCATGAGTTCCAACTCCTACCAATTCACGACATCGCGTCACCACTAGCCAATGTCTTCGGCGATTATCTGTCCTCATGCCCTACCAAAAACTAGGATGAAACAGTTGTCCAGTACTCCCTATAGGTTTTCTGATGGTTCTCTAACCGATGTCAGCCTATGATGTAATCCTGTAAACAATCAATCAATTCTCTACAAAAACCAATACTTGATTATTTTGTAATTATCTGTCGTCGTATTTTAATGACGCCTTAGGCTAATCGGATTGTCTTCCTTGTATCAGCTGCCATACCATTTAGCCACACACACACACATTCTCCAGTTGTTGCTGTAGTAGTATTGAAAACTTTTGTGGCTTGTGTTTATCAATTTGTTTTCTTTCCATTGAAATTGTCCAATGAAATTGAATCGTTTCATCACATGCCAGTCCATTTGAAAAAAAATATTTCATAAACATTTCTATGCTTCAACCAATTCATCCTTTTGACCATCTGTTTTCGTATTCTTTTTTCGTAAGCGATAGCCTTCACCGTATATGAGGATTGTTATTTAAATGTTTTTTGAAGAAAACGCACGTCATGATCTAATATAAACCGGTGACCACACCTCCGTTGCCATTACATACCAGTTGGATAGTTTGCGAAAGAAAAGAAATAGATAAACACGAAAAAACCTCTGAAACTGGAACTTTTAAATCTTCCATTGTTTGATGTTAGTGAATCGAAAGGTTAGATCTGTTTTTGCATATTGACTCGTAGAACGGATGTTTCCATTATGCCTTAAAGGTGAATCTGGTGTTATTTGATTGGTAATAGTGTCCGAGATGGTGGGTGCCTCAGTGAAAATGCATTTGCTCATTGGGATAAAGATATATCTAGTTGACTACTCCCACATAGCTAGTCCCAATGACTACCCGCCACCTTTCAAATAACACTGAGAAGATAGTTTTCTCTGATCCTTATATACAGAATAAATATACCACTTATCTATCTAAAAAACCCTATTATGTAATAAAACGTTAGAGAACCATTGGAAAACCTGGGAGTACTACACAGCTGTTTCGTCCTAGTTTGTGACTCTTCAACAGCACGCACCCACCGGGGTTCGAACCCAGGACCTTCTGGTTACAAGGCGAGCTCGTAGACCATTAAGCCGCTGGGATCCGATCCAATGGCCAGCCCATGAATTCTAACTTCTGCCAATTCACGACATAGTGCGACCCCTAGCCAATGTCTTTGGCAAGTATTTGTCCTCACACCTGACCTGCTGCACCCTACTGGTGACGACTTATCGAATCCCGGTGGGTGCGTACTGATGAAGAGTCACAAAGTAGGACGAAACAGCTGTGTAGTACTCCCAGGTTTTCCAATGGTTCTTTAATGTCAGCTCATGATGAAATCCTGTAACCAATCAAATCCCTACAAACCAACACTTGAATGTCAAAGATTTCATGGGCTGATTGGAATTTTTTGGTTTGACCACCACTAGCTCTTTTATAACCTAATCCTATGTCAGCTAACATTGCTCATCGAGGAAGGCGATGGCTAGGCAGGCATGCATATAACACATATCCTACCCATCTCAATCGACGTAGCTTCACAACTTCATCAATTGACTTTCATTCCTTACCTAAATCTCACCGCCTAATCTCAATATTAAATCGACGTGAATCTTCAATTCTGATGAATTCAGTAATCAATAAATACGTTGTATTTCTGTTTTTCAGCCACACTTTCTTCGTTAATAATTTCATGTGTATACACATGAATTAAATTATTCACCTACGTATATTTTCATTTAAAATCTGTCATTCGACTTAAAGAATTTATCTGCTTTATTTATTCTACAGAAAAGTGTTTGGTGTCAGTTACATAAATGATATGCGTGTGTGTATGCAGTGTTGTTGCGTTGTTAAATACTATTTTAACTAACTACATACATTTCTGCGATCCTCGTCATACCATTCATTATCTCCTATACACGTATTCGGTACACTTCACAAGCCTATACAGAAAAACTTTTATCGTTTTCTGATATTAGAAGTGTTAACTGGTGATCTATTGCCTTTATAAATTGTTTGTGGTTTTCTACTTATAGATTAAAATATTTAAAAATATCTTTCGCCTCATAATAATAATAATAATAATAATTGTTATTAATAGTAGTAGTGGTATTGCATTAATTATGATTAATTCGTTTGTATTTTTCAGCGCCCAACTCCATGTCTTTCAACCAAATTGCCATCAATTGGTAGTCTATCTCAACCGAATAATCCAATGAAGCGTAGTAAGCATCTTTCCATTTGTTGAATACTGTAATTTTACACCGTGTGGTTTTCCCTTTTTTTGGATCGGCGAAGTTAGTCATGCATTTTAGACAGCAGTTTAGATAGCCTAATCAAAGGCTTCAGTGCATATATAATATATATATGTATTAACGCAAATATTTCGTAATCTACTTGAATATTGAAACACCAAAACGATACTACCTTTCCCTTTGTGAAAGATTTGCACATTTTGATTGATGCTTTTTGTGTTTACCTGCATTAGGTGTATCACTTCTGATCGCGGTGATTCGATAGGTTGTAAATTTAGTGATTCATAGCGTTTTACTTGTGTAGTGTGTGTGTGTGTGTTTATTTATCTTTCATTTGTGGTAGATATTTCACAGATCAGTTACACGAAATTGTGGAAAATCTGTCGAAAAACATTTCAAGGTGTATATATATATTTATATGAAAGGAATGTAATCACTAGTAATCACAAATATTTAAAGAATTTTCCAAAAATAGGAACAAAGCGTATCTTGTTTTTCGTAGATAAATAATATCCTCTATTAGTGTGAAATGGCCCATACTTAACTGTCTTTACTTAAAGAGTCACGATTACGTAAAGCAGTGAATTGTCATTTCTACTTTCTGGAGTTTTCTCTTTTTGTGTTGCTACATGGATAGATCTTATCCTTCTAGTAGGGGTTTCTGTTTTTTGGGGAACAGGTGTTCTGATCTAATTCCCGTTTAACACCAACCACTTACTATGGAATGGTTTAATTTCTTTCTTTCATCATAAGTGCCTGCGTTCTATCTCCCGTGTGAAGTGGTATAATAAGGTGAGCAATATTGAGGTTAGGCGTCGAGTGCTAGGTAAGGAGGGGAAATCAATCGACGAGACTGTGAAATTACATCGACTGAGATGGTTAGGACATGTGTTACGCATGCCTAGTCATCGCCTTCCTCGACGGGCAATGTTAGCTGATACAGGGTCAGGCTGGAAAAGAGCTAGCGGCGGTCAAACGAAAAAATGGCACCAGTCAATGAAATCTACAACAGTTAGTTTAAGCCAGCCAGCCACGGGGAGTGTAGACTGGCTTCCTGGTTCGGGTCCTCGGGACGGTAAAAACCAATGGAAATAATTGCTGACATGGCTCAAAATCGTTCTCAGTGGCCCAGATGCATCCACTCCTTGTGACTTATGATTTCGAATGAAACTGTTTTGTTCTTCGTTATTACTATTCCTTTGTCTCACACCCCTGTTTACTGCCTCTAATATGCATTTCTCCTACTTTCTTCTCTTGCTTTGTGTGCTACAAGGGGGGAGTGTGGCGACTTGAACTGGCGCACATATGTGCAAAGTTCTATGTCAAAAACAGACACACAGACAGGTTTAATTTATGCATCATGTCTCGTTTCTTAGTGTTTATAATTGGATGATGTGCTTGGATGTTAATTAGGAAAATATTCTGTAATCAGCTCCACACACGAGCGTGTGAATGAGTATATTCACATAGCGATGGACATAAGCGGTGATTTATCCTTTTAAGTTCTTTACAGGATCAAATCTAACCACTCCAAAAACTATTCTATAGCTTAATAGTAAGGGAATATGGTTTTAATTATTCCACGAACTATCAGTTTGTTGATGATAGCGAGCTCATATGACGATTGCTATCGGTGAATACGAGATCTAAGTTTTGTGGCTTGATTGCAGTTACCTCCAATCGTTTAGCATTTCATGTGGTTATTTGTTAAGGTAAACGAATATCTTCATGTATAAATGGGAAACCGTTGATGGGCAATAAAGCGTCACGTTTTTATTTCATGATTTTTTTCTACAAGTAAAACTTCTGATGAAAATATCACACTTCAATACTAAAAATGTCTTTCTATATACAAACATGGCATAGGTAAATCACGCATGTAACAGAAAGATTTGTGGGTTTGTGATATGATAGTGCTTCCATGTGACAACGAGACGGTGGTAATGTGTGTATTATAATATTCTACAGTCGGCTTTTTGTTCAAAACTCAGGTGTCGTTCAAACCTTTTGTAGAATCATCGTAAAGGTATATCTTTAAAATTGAGATGACTAATGTGTCTTCAGGGAGTAAAGCTCAGAATGTCTAAAGCTGCATTTAACGACTCTACCCCACTATTCTCCTGCCTTGGTAACAAGCGAACATATATTTAACTCGATATTTCGGCGGCGGTGGAGTGGTGGTGTTAGTGTAGACCGTTTCGTTTTCCAGCTCCGATTTATTCCTGGTAGCATACCAGCTTTCTTAAATCCCCCTCAGGCGTTTACTCAATAAGCACTTGCAGACATAAAATCGATTTAACTTCTAATCTTCTTGCTAAGTGCTTCTTATATCGTGTGTCTTCTAGAATAGTTTTCTTTTAAACTTCATTCTCTGAAATAAAACTTTAAAATATGCTGTTCTTGAGCATTCAGATTTTAATTTCATTATTCTCTTGTTTATCTATCTTTTTTTTATTTATTATACTTTAGTGGGAGCAAAATCACCTCGAATGAATTCTACTGGTGATATTAATTTGACACAAGTTACACTGCCATCACTACGATCTGAATTTGAAAAGCGTAAACGTTCCCTATCCTCTGTTAATCCTGCAGATGTGTCCGAAATTTCCAAAATTGAAAAAGCGTATGTTGTACATTTATTTTTTGATCTTTTCAATGTTTTTGTTATTTTTTGTTTTCTTTTATCCTGTAAAACGAGATTGTTCTAGCTGATTTCCGGTTGCCTAATTAATGAACTGTGCTTCTTCCATTATGAAATGTCACTGTATTGCTCTCATTGATATTTTCAGTACATACTTCTGCTTCAAATCACCGAAAATACCCATTGAGTCTTGAAGAAAATAAAAGAAAATTCAGTGAAGAAAATTTTTATTTATCGATGAAATCATCTCAACAGGATGTACAGTCGTATTTATATTTACCAAAAGTGTATAGTAGTCCGTTATGGAGTAATAGGGGAGGGGTGACAATTGATATAATTACTTAGGAGTGGCTTCAAAAGTAAAAGAAATACAAGTTACAAATTGCGTTATACTCAACGGCATAAAGGAAGAAAGAGTTAGAAATCTGAAAAGGTTAGACTTGTTGAGTGAGTAGAAAGATAGTTGAGTGTCCATTTAACAATTAAGAAGAGGGGGAGAAAACGTACGTGTGAGAGTGATAATAGTGAACTAATTATTATAGTAAAAGCCAACTAACCATTAAAAATAAAAAGTTTACAGGGAACAACTAATGAAGAGTTTATGACCATGGTGGAATAAGAGACTGAACAAACTCTTTCTGTATGCAGAGTGTGGGGTTGTATTGAAGAATTGCCAACGCCTCTGCCATACACAAATGCCGAAACATGATGCCCTCTGTACCATTTGGTCTCACCTTGTAGATAATCTTGAAAGATAATTCTGGTGGAACTGTGTGGCTTGAGTTCACTAATTGCTCGAAAATTGTACTGTCTTGCATTCTCCTTTTGTTAACCACGTCGGATAATGTTCAGAGATGCGTTTGGAGAGTGTACTCATTGTGCGCCCAATATAACTAGCACTACGTGGGCAAGTGGATTCATAAACACATTGAACTGGCCGAAAGCGGCAGTTCATCCTTCACACATCCACTGTTTATTTGTCGGTTGTAGAAATTGATCCGTAGCTCAACCGAAAAGAAGGCTTGCTTCAGTTTTCTGGATAAGCGGATCTTCAGAATCTCAGCTGTGGTATCACCCTTAAATTCGACGTTCATCAATTGCAGTTTCTTCAGCACCATCTGGGTTCTTACGGGCTTTTGGTTTACTTTCATGTTTTTTTTCGATGAATCTTGAATGATATCCATTTACACTTGTTAATTGGATACTCTACTATGTTTCTTCTCACTCAACAAACAACTTTAACCTTATCAAATTTCTAAGGCTTTCTTCCTCTGTGTAATTTATAACTTTTATTTTTACTTTTGAATCCACTTCTAAGTAATTACATCAATTATGTCACCCCCCTATTACTCAATAATGGACTACTATATATTTTTGGTAAATATAAATACCCATTTACGCATTTAGAAAAAACAACAGATTGAGCGAAGAAATCTATTCCTTTTCAATTAGTTCCTCATCATCGTCTCTAATTGGACGAACGAACAGACAGATCAATATGCAGACGTTTGCACAGAAAACCTACTTCCACTGGACAATGTACTCATTTCCTGAGCTTTGTACCTCTACAATACACACATAATCTGGTTAGATATCTGGTTCACCGGGCTAAAGTTATCTGTTCAAATGAGACACTGAACGAAGAACTCGGTAGTATTCGCGATCTACTAAGTAGAAACGGATATCCAACCAAATTCGTGAACAAACACATGAACTCAGAAAGTAAAAAGCCGAAGGTGCCAACTGTTCCCAAAAAATCAGTCTTCCTAAGATTACAATTCACGGGTGATGGCAATAGCGAGATATCACAACGTGTGTGAAGGGCCTTCAAAAGGACTTTCAACGCAGCTAAGCTATGTTGTATATTCACTAGCCGATCAATACTTAGTTCAAGAAATAAAGACAGACTGCCCTGTTTCGCCTGTTCCATGTGTATTTACCAGTTTAACTGCCTGTGCGGAGCTAGTTACATAGGGCGTACAATTAGGCAAGTTCATCGTCGAATTTCTGAACACCTCCCATCTTGGTTTGGCAAAGGTTCGAATAAAGCTATACACAGCTCAATACTAGTTCATCAAGTCGACTCTAACAAAGCTTTTAAAGTTATTTACCGTATATCACCCAACCTCTCGCATGGTCTACGAGTACGACTTTTACATACAGCAGAGGCAATCGGAATTCATCTGAACAAGCCAAATCTATGTGTTCAAAAGAAATTTGTATAGCCCCTTTCTTTGCCATGGCCAACTACATAATATGTATTGTTTAAAACAATTTTTGTAACTGTCCTTTGACTTTATTGATTTTTTACAATTCTAGTTGATTCTATTAACTTCTTTGTATTTTACGTAACTTTTCTTAGTCATCCTATTCTTTTGTCATCATTATTTTACAGATTTCTTGATTACGTAATAACGTGTTGCTAACGCCTAAGAATCAACTTATGTTGAATTCTGTAATTAATTCTCACCCCTCCTTTAAAACTTAAATATCTTGTTACTAACATGTATTAGTTAATTGTTTTGATGACCTTTAACCTCTTAATTTCACCCCTACCTATACCTAAAACTGATTAACTAAAATAACCACTTGATTGGTAAAAAATTTTGATGTAAAAAACTATATTAGTGTAGAGACAGTGAATGATGAGGAACTAATTGAAAAGGAATGCTTATTTCTTCCTCAATCTGTTGTTTTTTCTAAATATGAATACGACTGTACAGTCTCTAAAGATGATTTCATCGGTGAATAAAAATTTTCTCCGCTGAAATTGTCTTTTATAATCTTCATGACGTACTTTTGCATGTAAGTGAATTATAACTGACATGGATAAATGATACCATCTCATGTAGTTATGAGTTGATCACTTTTGGGGACAGTGTCTTAAGCAGTTAGTCTTGATACGTCGTGGGTTTTCCTTCCTTGTGATCAATCACATAATGCAGGTACATGTACTCAATGAATTCTGCTTCTTGAGTATATAGTTTTCGACATGTATACAATGCATCCAGTTTTCACCAGACTTATAATTCTCTTCTGCCTACACACACTTAAAGTCACCTTGAATGATCCAATTACAGAGCGAGTTACATAGAATAAAGCAAATATTTGCCTTGTGTTGTAATATAAACATATCTAATGCTTAATGTTTTATATAACATCAGGTTTTTTTCCTCATTACTTGAACAATATTAACAATATATTAGTATATAGAATGATCTTCTTCCCTAAAGTGTATAGCGTCATTTTTTAAAGAATTATTTACGTATCCATGTTGCATCCAAAAGTATGCAGCTAACGTGCATATAAGCACTATGGATATTCATACAACTGCATATAATGTGTGTGTGTGTGTGGAAATCTATATACATCATAATAATCAATATTTCAGGAATCTGTTTATTACTCTATTCATCATGTTAGTGTGAAAATACTTTGCAAACAAAAAAAAACAGTGCATATATAAGTACTAATTATATTGATATCAATCACAGGTCTTAATTATTTGAGTTCTTTTCTTTTCTTCTCTTACTTTTACTTTTGACCATACTTTTCAATGAAATCATGTGATCTAAGCATTTGATGAAGAAGTAAGGTAAAAAAAATTAGCTCCAGCATGCATATCTTTATCCTATATGATATGTATATGCAAATGAATTGATAAGAGAGTGGAGTTGTAGATTATATCGCTTATGTATCTTTCTCCTTTGACACTTTCTCTCATATTCTGGTTTTTCATTCACTGGCTGGCAATAATGACTTATTTAGGAAAATTAGGAGTGGCTACTACTAATATTTTATTTCATTATCGTTCCCTTGGGTTCCTAGTGGAACATAGGGCTTCAACTGCACGTCTCCACTTGCTTCTGTCTTCTGCTGTACTTTTCACCTGCATCCATGTTAATCCATACTGTTTCAACTCCTCTTCACACGATCTCCTCCATGTCACCCTTGCACTGACGTCCCACTCACCGCTTCCCTTTCGGGTTCCACTCGAGCTATGGTCTGACGCGCGATGTCACCCAGCGGCCTCCTCAGCGAGTGTCCAATCCATCTCCACTTTCTCCTGCATATTTGTTGGGCGATTGGTTCTTGTTTTGTTTGTTCCCATAGTTTCTTGTTGGTGATTCTTTCCGGCCATCTGATCTTCAGTATAGAACGAAGACAGCTGTTGATAAAGGTTTGCAACCTGTTGGAAATATTCTTTGTGACCGGCCAAGTTTCTGATCCGTATAGAAGAACTGACTTGACATTTGTACTAAAAATCCGAATTTTGTTGTTGATGCGTGAGTGACGAAGATTTCCAGATTGGTGTCAGGTTGATGAATGTATTTCCGCCTTTCCGATTCTCAATTTGACATCCTCGTCCGTTCCTGCTGTAGTTGAGACAATGCTCCCTAGATAAGTGAATGAAGTAACCTCTTTGAAATCCCTCCCGTTGATGGTGATTGGCGCTGGATGTTGCTGTTGTTGTTGTTGTTGTTGGTTGGTTGGTTATTTTCATAACCTCCGTCTTGTCTATGTTCACCTGGAGTCCTGTCTTCACCGGCTGCTTCTTCGACCAGTTTGTTGGTTTTGTCTTGTAAGTCTTCGATTTTGTGTGACATCAAACATAAATCGTCCGCGAAATCCAGGTCTTCTAGATTTTTCACGTTGGTCCAGGGTATCCCTGTCTTCTCGTTTCCCACTGTCTGACGCATAATCCAGTCCACCACAATTAGGAATATCATTGGTGATAATAAGCACCCTTGTCTGACTCCTGTGATTACTCCAAACGCCTCGCTGAGTTTTCCGTTGTGGATCACTAGACATGTGCGTTTCGTACAGCTGTTGAATAAGGTTGATGAATATTGGGTACGCCGTAGTACTGAGTAGTTTCCAAATTACTCGCGGTCAACGCTGTCGAAGGCCTTCTCAAAGTCTATAAGTTGAGGTAGAGGTTTGATTGCCATTTCTGCTTTGTTCAATGATAATGCGTAGAGTTGCAATTTGGAATTTTTATATATTTGTGCGTTGAAGTTTCTGTAGCAATTTGGTTAAGTCTTGTGAGTGGAGTTGCTAGCACCACGCCCCAACCCTCCCTCTTAATCCGGGCTTGGGCCGGTTAGAAAACTAGTGAGCTAGTAATCTAGGCGAGGTTGGCCACTACTAATGTGAGTATCAATTGTTTCATGTATCCAGATAGTGAGCTATCAGTAGGATTTCCAACGGGATAGTGTAGCTAAGATGCCACAGGTGAAAATCAACAAATCAGCAGAAAAAACAGTGAAGATGGGACTTCAAATGAACATAGGGAAGATAGAAGTGATGAAGATACCTAATCAACAACAACAACAAGCACCACTCACTATCGAATGAAGAGAGATCTAAAGGAGTTCACCTTTTTCACTTACCTAGGCAGTATCAGAACAGTGAGGGATGTCAAAGGCAGGATCGGAAAAGCAAGAAAGACCTTCATTAATCTGGGATCAGTGTGTGAGAAACAAAGCCGGAATTTCCGACACTAATGTGTTAAGTCAGTGCTTCTATCTGGTTCAGAGACTTGCCGCTGAAAGCATTTTCCAACAGCTTACTGCAGACTTACATCAACAACTGCCTTCGCTTAATCCCGAAGATCAGATGAGACAGAAAGGGTTGGTAGCAAGGCACTGTGGCAACAAAACAATCAAGAACCTATCACCCAACAAATATGCAGAAGAAAGTCGAGATGAACTGGACACACGCTGATGAGACTGTTGAGTAGCATCATGTGCTAGTCCCTATAGTTAAGACCAACAAGTTGGGTGTGAGGTCGAGGGTGACATAGATGAGGTCGTGTAAGAAGGATCGTCCAGCCAGCCAAAAAGGATTACAGAGAACAGATTAAAATGGAGACGTACTGCTGAAGCTATATATTCAACTGCAAACCTAAGAGAATAATAATAATAAAGGGAAAGTCTTTATGCTTACCTTCATAACTCTGTAGACACGTTTATTTCACATTAACTGGGGACACTAGGGCAATCTGTGAAGTTGGTAAACACTGTTCTGATCTATTTAGAGAATTCTTAATAATTTACTGGAAAGCTGAAGGGTAGCTGACGCAGTAATCACATACTTGATATGGCTTAAAACTAGTTGTAGTTTTGTCAAATCATTCCCACTTTGGAATTATAGCTCATACTTCTTTTTTCAATGTCTTCGTTTTCTTTAGTTTATTATGTAAGTCTTCGGTCGCAGTCATTATTGTTGTATGCGTATTATCCTTCTTTTCTTGTTTATTACTTCTCAGTGTATTAATTGAAAAGGTTCTAAGGTGAACCAATAAGCAACTGTCATTTTCCCTTGTCATAAAGTGAATTAATGTCCTCCGACTTACTGAATATACCAAAATCGAGTTAACTTTATTCAGCTTTCATACTCTTTTTATTGACGTAGCACTATTACTATATTATTATTATTATTATTTTGATTTTTAGTTTACCTCTAGGAACAACAACTTGGAAAGCTGCTGGAACAGCACGTTCTCAAACACGTAAAACTAACGAGGCTGATAATACTGGTGAAAATGGTATTTCATCGACTAGTACAAAGCCTGAGCAAGAGAATAATACAACACCTGGACGTGCTGCAGCTCTACGATTATCCTTAGATCAACGCAGACGTGCTATTGAAGTATCCAGACAACGTGAACGTTTAGCCAGTACTAAAGCAGCTGCTAATAGAAATAATGCAGCTTTTGTTAAACTTCTTCAGGAGCAAGTAGGTTGTTTTTTTTCTGTAAATTTTATCAACTTACTAGGAACTGCAACTTTGCAGATGAATCCATGCATTTTTTTATGAAGGAAAAGCTGTTTTGAAAAACAACTAATATAAATTTCATAGTGATGCGAACCATATTTCAATGCGCAGGCAGTTATTTCAATCATACATGTAGAAGTACTGCTGTGCTGTTAATAATGGCTCTGTTATGCGTATCTATGAAAATCATTCATTTTCAATTCAACTCTGGGTTTTGTAAAAAAGAATGTGTGGTGCATTTGTACCACATTATTGTATCTACAAATATTCTACTCCTCATCGTTCAAAGTTGTGCTTCTTTACCCTTAGCATATACATGTTCATCTACTGCAAGTTGTACATGCTCATTATTGCAGTCATCATTAGATATGAGAAATTTTTCTCGTTAATATATACATCAAAATCTTTATGGTACCAGTCAATGAAATCTACAACAGTTAGTTTAAGCCACGTAGGAAGATGTAGACTTCCTGGTTGGGGTCCTCGGGACGGTAAAAACCAATGGTTGGAAACAATCGGTGATCTGGCTCAAAATCGTTTTCAATGACGCAGATGCATCCACTCCTTGCGACTTATGATTTCCAGTTAATCTGTTTTGTTCTTCGTTATTACTATTCCTTTGTCTCACACCTCTGTTTACTGTCTATATTATGCATATTTTCTCTTGCTTTGTGTGCTACATGGAGTGTGGCGACTTAAACTGCCGCACATTGGTGCAAAGTTCTATGTCGAATACAGACAGACAGATGTGTAGTCAGTGTGAGTAAATGAGCTTCACAGTATACACTACCTGGAAAATGTATTGCTAAACACTGTCAGTTAGAGTCGTAATATCTGAAGAATTCGACTTATGTTTAACTCAGCAATGTCAATAAGTAACAAACATGCTCTAGTGTTTTCTTTCTCACTGGTTTTTTTTTCGTTTCAATTCTCTTACAAATGTCTTTCTACTGTAATTTTCTAGTTTCATCAACGTCGGGATGTTCCAGCGGGAGAAAGTAAACTACCCAGTGATAAAACATCGAAGACTGAAACTACTCCTACTGTCTCACCGACGAAATCAAACGGACCAGAAAACTTGGCTAGTGCTTGTGTAGATGCAGAATGTATGCATGTTGCAACAGATAATCAAGAGATTACTGCATCTGTCTCTCAGGTTGGTCAAGCTACAGATATGGATGAAGATTTTTCAATGCTGTCATCATCTACTGTTCCGAATTCTAATGAGGTAAGCAATGATGTTGCCGATTTCACCTTTTGCAGACATTTTTACTAAAAATAGTCAAAAAAAGATATGTGACTACTGTGAACTAAAAATGTACCATAATCTCATATTCTTTATATAAATATTTCTGTTTTTGATGTGGTTGTGTTCTCTGAGCTGGATAGTTAATTTGCGAAGCTTTCATCGCCCTACTGGTCAACATCTTCAGCGCATACTTCAATTTGAAGTGAGCTTTTAGATTTCTCCACGAATTTATTAATCATCTCTCCTGGTGACCTTGGACGTGATTGGTTGTTTTTGTGTATTTTCACACCCTTTAGGCTACTTGTATTGGCACTGATTGTTTCCTTGACTTGAACTTTGACCCTTTGTGTGTGAGATTTCCTTCTTATCAATTGGCAAATTTGATCCATGTCGATGTGTCTATTGATTGACGATTCACTGGAATACCAGGCTTTTAAAGATTCTGTAGCATTCTTGGTGTTTCCTCTGTCTAATATTTGAACGTTGTGCCATCGAGATAAGCAAAATCTACCAACCGATAAGAAGAAAATCTCATACACAAAGGGTCAAAGTTCAAGTCAAGGAAACAATCAGTTCCAATAAAAAAGTAGCCTAGAGGTAATTGGTAAGCTTCACTAATCATGGACGCCTCAAGTCACTGGATCTCTAGTTAGTTACCAGTTTCATTTGTTGCAATATGAATGCCAGATTTGTATGGTATATAATTACAACCGAAAATAAAACATACATTTGTTGGTGGTTGAATATTTCTTTTACTAGTAGAGACTATTTACAGCTGTTTAGTTACTCAATGATCTGTGACTTATTGATGTAGGTTTGTGATTACTTATATACCTGCCTCAACCTATGTGCCGGTGGCATAGCGGTTAGGAAGCTCGTCGACCATGCACAGGGTCCGGGGTTCGATCCCCGGCCGACGCACTCCTTTACTCCTTTCCCTCGCTAAGTCAGAAATAATGCTCGTGAAGAGGAGAGGTTGGGCACGAGGCTAGCAACCTCATCCTGTAAAATAAACACTGCTGCAGAAACTTCAACCCACTAGCTTGAAGCCCTATGTTCCACTGGGGAAAGTGAACGAGAAAAAAACCTGTTGGCTAACTTTACTATAAACCCTCAGATACTGATTGGGATTAACATAGTAGAGGCTTCCTTGTTTTTGCACGAAGAAACACCTCGTTGATTTAAGCAGTTGATTTTCAACCAGTAGGTTCAGGGTTCGAATCCCATTCCACCTACTTCACTCCGGGCAACTAGGTAGCATCATCAGCTCTCACACACAGTCAATAACTGTGATAAGGGTATAACATTTTCAGTCTCTATGTTGAAAGGCTATTGAAGTTCATTCCTTGTGTCAGGTAATATTTCAGAATGCCCCGAAAAATGCACAGTTCTTTGAACACACTAACAATGTATGCCTATGTAAGTCAAGATTGATTGATTGCCTCCTTCAGTGTGATTTTGATTGTTTTAGTGAAACTGAAAAGTAGGTGTTTAAATATGGTGACTTTACTAAGAATAATTTTTTCTAGTTGGATCCAGTAGAAAAATACTCATAACCAGCATATTAATCACAGTATCATAGTTGATTGTTTGCTGTCATTCGAACTCCTAATATCATCTTATTGGCATTTGGAATTATTTCTAGTATTCCAGATATATCTCATTCATATTATTAATTTTAAAGGTTATAGTGGAAATACTAGCTGCGTCTTGTGTAATCACATCATTGTATGTAATCATCGATGCGTCTGAACTCTTGTTATATAGGAAAACGTTTTTATTTAACTGTACTGACTGTTGTTTGCTGAGTGTTACACTACACTGGAGGTGGCACTATATTTCTCGAATTTGTAGAAGTTAGAATTCGTGGGCCATTGGATTCTGGCTGAGCCAACGAGACCCCCTTGTAACCTATTAATATTATTATTCCGGATATTATTTATAAAATGTACAGAATTTTCAGAGGAGTTTATTACATGATATTTTCCCTTCGTACATTATCTTCAAGTATATCCTCTGACATCAATGGTCTCTGAGCTGAAGCACAAACCATTCCATTATGCTATATCTGCTTTGTATCCTTCAAGAAGTCCACCCACGATATCTAGTTGAAAGCCAATTGTTAGATGTTCAGAAGTACACTTTGAAACCCAAGGATATAACTGAAGAACAGTTACCTCATGTATTGGAACACGTTGACACCCAGAATCAGGCCATTCCTCAAGTTCACTAGGAACTTGCGAGTCAGAAGCTTGTAAACATTTCAAATAAACAATAGAGTAGATAGTATCAATAGAGGTCTGTAGAAAGTCTCAAACAAGGACGAGGTGACTTTCCAGTAATCCCTGATTTCTAATGTTCTTCCTAACTGAAGTCAGCTCATGCTGGATCAGACTTGAAATTACACTACCACTTCTTTTCCATTTTAATCAACAAGTAAAATGCTTATCCGTGAAAAGTTTTTTTTTCAAAAATAAGCAAGATCGTTAGGTTCTCTAGAGAAGCTAAGCTTATAGATTTATCGATTAACCTAATTGCAAAATATCTGACCATTCCGTAAATTCTTTCGTTGAAATTGCTTCATCTAACTTTACTGATTATGTGTATCCTAATTCTCTGGATTTATAAACAGAATTCCATGACATTGTTGTTCATCAGATTGTCATTTTTAGCTTATCTATCACTCATTTTTATGGGTCATTTATCTTTATGTACCAGGAGTTGTTTAACTATTGAAATGTACTTTTTCATACAAACAAAGCTGAATCACTTACTAACTAATGTGATACCTACTGATACCTACTGTTTAATTTACTTCTGGATTGTAAGTTTTTCCACTAGATGACTTAATCAGGCTTCATTTGAAAAGCAGCTAGATAGGTTTGTCCATAGTGAAACACTAAAGGTGATTCCACAGAGACTGTTTAAATGAAACACAGTCTTATTTTGAGCTCTTACTGATATTATATATTCATTCTATCCATTCTCCTTTTAAACACAGAATTAAATGGAATACTGATTTTATATATCGAAAGGTAATAATTTCATTAAGAGGTTCCGCCTTAATCAGAATGATTGTTCATGATCTACTTTTACAACTTACCTTCGACACCAAGTTTAAATTCACTAATCCATAAAATAGGTAAAGGGTCGCCGTAGTAATGGTTTCAGCACTTTACCTTTATTGACAGAATGTCTCATTCTCATCATAGAGGATATCATACTGTTATCTAAGAGTGGTAATTTCTATTTATATCTTATGATACCATTATTACTATAGTGGTTCCCGTTCCATCGATTAGACAAGAATTGTTTTCGTGTTTCATCGTCTGAAATCACAAATTCCTCAGATAGCAATTAATGAAAAATTTGATAACGTCCTACAAATTGTTACGCTGTCTGTGTATCTATGCTTCCAGGTTACTGATGAAGAATCGCCTAAAGACAACCAAGGCAGAACGTTAACAAGTTTACTTGTCTCTGCCTGGTTAGTTCTATAAGCTGTATAATGCATAATGTTGTATGTCTACCTAGAAAGCAGAATGCTCACAAATACATACTCCTATCGACTGTTGAATATCTGACTACTTCTTATCACACCACTTTTGCAAACTGCTGACCAGCAACCTGTTTAACAACTTAGCAGCTTGGTTTAATTAGTACCAATTTACCAATTCAAATCTGACCTCTGTGTATTCATTAAAGATGCATTCACTCTATCTTCCCATCGCCTTCCTTCCTCTTCCTATCTTCCCTATCGCTTTAGTGATCCTAGTATAAAAAATTAAAACCGTGCTACTTAGTTAAACATCACCAAGAATAACTGCTTAATATCACTACTTAAAGGAACAATGAAGTCGGCTAAGACGTGGGTGTATCTAAAATGATGTCAAAGAATGCTACTTAATTTAATTTAAATCTAATTCTCAACAATCTTTGTATTTATCTGTTAGTTAATTTCTGCTTATTTTGTTTTACTCCACTTTATTTTAGCCTTTACAAGATAATTCTGTTTTTATGGAAACTAGTACGACAGTTGCAGCGCTGGACGATAATGCATATGAACCGAGTGAATCTGTAGCTTCTTCGCCTAAATCTCCAAAATCCTGTCGTGAAGAAAATCAAATGTATGATTCGCCTACGCTTCCAGTGAAACACTCAAAACACCATGATACAGGCCCTATGAACAACCATCATAGTACTCAGAATTATCAAGATATAGATCAACGTTCATCTGTATCCTGTCAGAGATCGAACAGCGACGAATCAGATTATCTTCCATCCAATATGTCAGCACCTCATATTGTCTCACCCCACCCATCCAGTTGGCATCAGTCTTTACCATACCAACGTAAACCAGATACTAAGAGACCAAAGTCTCGATATAGTGAAAGGGAATCCACACCTCAACCGGAATCGTTTGCTGCCGATGCTCATAATCACCATATTCATCAGTATCCTCATACTCACAAAAGCTCAAAGTATCGAGGTTATGCGGATAAAACATATCCTGGGCATTTTACTCCATCAGTTGCATATAATGATCGTGGTTTTGTTTCTGTTGATCCATTTCATGGTACTCAATCTCCTCGCTTTAGACGCCACCATATCAATCATAAAACCTGTCATTGTGACACATCTTTACACAATTCTACATGTGAACAACCAATTCCTCATAGACATACATCTCAACGACATTATCGCCGTCACAATCCTGCTAATCAATTGATTCAAAGCGGTAGTTATTGTGATTGTAGTTCAGGTGAAGCAAGTTCAGAAACAGATGATGAATCGAACTGTACTTGTGATGATCATTCTTATCCACACGTCAATCGTATGGCTTACTCTGGACGATTTTCTCATCGATCACTTTCTAGATTGTCGAAACCACACTCCAAGTAAGTTGTCATCAACTTCAGCTTATTTATATTCCGAATTAAATAGTCATTTATCAGGTGAATAGTATTCATGCAACAAATACTTGTTTCGATAAATCAGTAGTTTAATAATCATTTTACAGCTCTTTTTATTCATATATTTACTTACGAATCCTAATTATCTTTATTGAAAGTGAGAAAAATAAGTTATAAGTGGACACTCATCAGATAATTTAACTAGTTATCTATTTTTTTGGTGGTGGGGGAGGTAGGGGCACCATAAACCCTCAAAACGTAAAACAGCGAGTTTCGCCCTTCCCCTCTGTATAGGTTCACATTCACCAGTCTTATAGATCATTGTCAATCTCTAGTTTGAATACTCTTTTTTTACTTATAGTCTTGTCTTTCTCCTGTAAATCTACTTAAGGATACTAAGATATGCATATAAACAGTTTAGTCTATTTGTCTTTTGTATATGTTTATATTATTTCACCTGATACCAATCGAATGAGCTAAGAATGTATTGTGAAATGAAGGTAGCCTAATTTATTTAAACAAAAAATCATATTTGTCTGCATAAGATTGACAGAATTTGGCAAAACTCTATTTAGATTGTTTCATACCATCGCTTTATTGTATTCAGTATAAAGGTATGCAACTTACTCTTCTTGTATTGCTTGAAACTCCCTAGTACTATCAACATAATCTATAGCAGTAAATATTAATAGAGTTGTCATATACTGGTTTAAATGAAATATATGCACTTAACAGAGTGTGCAAAGAATATATTGATTAATGCAAATGTGATAGGAGTGAACTGGCAACGTGATATTATTTTTTTTCCACATCAATTTTGGTTTCCCCGTTAACTGATCAGGATCGAAATGTGTGGCCTCTGTTGGAAATTCCCACTGAGTCATATAAAAGAAAAGGCATTCAGCGAAGAGTTACTCTTTTCGGCGATATCATTCGCAAGCTGTATAGTCGCATGTATATGTCTGTCTGTCTATCTGTTTTCGACATAGAACTTTGCACATATGTGTGGCAGTTCAAGTCGCCACACTCCATGTAGCACACAAAGCAAGAGAAGAAAGTAGAAGAAATGCATAATATAGACAGTAAACAGAGGTGTGAGACAAAAGGAATAGTAATAACGAAGAACAAAACAGTTTCATTGGAAATCATAAGTCACAAGGAGTGGATGCATCTGCACCAGCCATTGAGAACGATTTTGAGCAATATCACCAATTGTTTCCAACCATTGGTTTTTACCGTCCCGAGGACCCCAACCAGGAAGTCTACACCTTCCTACGTGGCTTGCTGCTGCTGTATTCAACATAGAACTTGACACCGAAGTGCAGCATTTCGAGTTGCCACGTTCCAAATAGCACACAAAGGTAGACAAGAAAATGAGTGAAGAGAATCAATAGAATTTAGATAAGTATAAGAGTGAAACAGAATGAGTAATGGTAGAAAGGAATATGAAGGTTAAAGAGACTGAATACATCTACGCCATTGACAACGATTTTGAGCCATGTCACCTAGTGTCTCCAGCCATTTATTCTTAGAGTCCCGAGGGCCGGGCCCCAACGCGGAAGTCTGCATCTCCCTACCTGACTCAGTTTAACTGTCAAGGATTTCATGGATTGATGAGGCCATGTTTTTGTTTGGCCACCACTTACTCTTTTCCAACCTGCACCTATATCAGCTAGTAATGCCCGTCGAGGAAGGCGATGGTTAGGCATGCTCAGCATGTGACCTAGCCATCTCAATCTATGTACTTTTATAGCCTCTTCGATTGATTTTCCCTCTTTGCCCAACACTCTACGCCTAGCGTCGACATTACTTACCTTATTATACCACCTAACGCGAGAAAGAGATCGTAAACATCTGTGGTCAAAAACAGACAATCTCTTCATGTCTTCCGCTCTCAATGGCCACGTCTCACCGCCATAGAGAAGGACGGACCTACGTGGCTTAGACTAACTGTTGTAGATTTCATTGACTAGTGCCATGTTTTCGTTTGACCGCCGCTAGTTCTTTTCCAGCCTGACCCTATATCAGCTAACATTACCCGTCGAGGAAGGCGATGGCTAGGCATACGTAGCACATGTCCTAACCATCTCAGTCGATGTAATTTCACAGTTTCGTCGACTGATTTCCCCTCCTTACCTAGCGCTTGACGCCTAACCTCAATATTGCTCACCTTATTATACCACTTCACACGGGAGATAGAACGCAGACACCTATGATCAAGCATTTATATGTAGTAAATTCTTTTAGTAACAAGATGAATATTTCCAAAGATTTGTCATTAGAATTGTAAATTTTAGATAACAAATTTCGTTAATAGGTTAGAAACTAAAATCAGATTAAATAAGCAAATTGATTAATGTAATCTAATTGATGAGGTTGAGTAGAGCTCAGCTAAAATTAAAATTGAACAAAAGTCAAGTTAACAACAGTGGTAATAAGGGGTAGAGATTTAATAAGAGGCAGGGGAAGAAAATACTATACAATTAAGAAACAAACAAGCAAGAAAAAGATGAAACAAAAATTACGTATTTGGCGTTAAGATAGGTAAGGTCCACTGTAGATTTAATGACTGAACAAACTTCTTTTGTATGCAGAGTTTAGTTTTTACTATGTGAATTGCCATTGCTTCTGCGGTTTGAATAAGTTTGATTCGTACTCTTTGAGCGAGATTCCCACGTATTCTGTAGATGACTTTGAAGTTACTTTGTGGGTTTGCTTGGTGTCCAGATTCGATCGCGTGTTCCAGAATAGAGTTTCGGGGAGACCTATTTTCTCCTTTATAAAACCATGACTGTGAGTAAGTTTTCGATGATACGTTTGGATAGCAAACGCTGGTTACGGCCGACATACCTAGCCCCACATGAGCAGGTGAATTGGTAGATGCACACTAATGAGGCCAACAGTGGTAGCTTATCCTTCACGTTCATGCAAATGTTAGCTCTTAGTACGGGCACTTTGACGACATCTGACAGATTAAAGTGAAGTAATTCGGTGAATGGTGACTAACAGTGAAATCCAGGATACGCAGTTCATCTACCAAATTACTTCATGTTAATCCGTCAGATATCTTCAAAGTGCCCATACTAGCAGCTGGACATTTCTGACAGAGGCCAGACATTCTGATCCAATCAATCAACGGGGAAAAATTGACAAAAATTTATAATTGATGTCCTTTGCACAAGAGGTGCCTCTCGTGACCCAAGTGATTTAGTGGGTAATGCTTTGTCGTTTAAAATGAAGGATACTGGGTTCGAGTCTAAGATGGGAACAACACTCATTGGGATGATGAGCCCCAAACAGGATGAAATTCACATGCTAGATTCTACTGCTACCCACCATCTACCAAATTGCTTCATGAAGCTATAGTTCATAATTTACTATATGGGTGTCGCTCCACGAAGTTAGTTTTCAGAAGTTATTTATCTACATAGGTTACATTATCTCATGTTACCTCGAAGAATATGCCAGAAACTGAAAATTATAAAATGCATTCTTCCTCAACATTCGGGGGATTTTAACTCTCGGTTTAGATATGTGATTGCATAATATGTGAAACTCACTGGAAAAAAATTAGTCTCTAAAATCCAGAAAACATGTATTTGCGTAAATGCAACTAACATTGTTTGTGCTTAGTTTTGTCACAAGTGTCAGTCTTCGTTATTTACGCTTATCTTGTCTGTGATTTGAGATACTCAGACAGATAAAAATTGTAGGTTGTGATCCAATCATGGCGTGTTTTTTTATCAGGATAAGTTCATCTTTAATTATGTACCTAAAATTTACAAGTAAAAATGTTTTTAATCACATCTTTGACGCAGAAGTATTTGTAATTGTTAAACAAAGTTTAAATGGTAATTTTTTTTGGTAATTTTGAACATAATATGATAAGACGTCAGCAACTTAGCGTAATTAAGGGATGAAATCACTGATTGGTTGCACTGGAACTTTGATTAGCCCTAAAATTCTAATTTCACAATGATAAAAAGAAAACTAAAGTTTTCGCAGTTTAGCCTTTAATATTATTTTCAGGTATTGGTTTGTAGGGATTTGAGGGGTATTGTAATTTTAGGTTTGATCACGAAGTGACTTTATTTAGAGAACCATTGGAAACCAAGGTGTACTGGACATCCGTTTCGTCCGTGTTTGAGACTCTTCAGTAGTATGTATCCGGGACCCTCAAGCTGCAAGGCGAGTTCATTGATCATTCCGCCACTGCGGCGGAATCCAGTGGTCCATGAATTGTAACTCCTGCTAGTTCTCAATATGTAGCGTGGGTTCGCCTTTTAACCTTGATGGTCCTTGGTTCAATCCGCGATGGGGTCATGGGTATGTACCACCGAAGAATTTAACAGCTGTCCAGAACTCCCTAGTTTTCAGTCGTTCTCAGCTCGTGATCAAACTTGAACTCTGATTTTAGTCATTCTTTCTCTTGTTATTATTTCAAAGAGTATTGCTCAATACAAAGTCTGAAAGTGAATATTAATTAATTGTTTTATGATAATAATGAGTTACATTTGACAGAGGGGCACTAGTAAAACAGCTTTAAGCATACCAAGGCATATATAAACAGTTTAGCCTATTTCTCTTTTGTAGATGTCTATGTATTTTTTTTCTAACAGTGAAACTAAGTCAATTCCCATGTCTACTGTGACTAAGTCTCTTACTGAAAAATGACCTTGGTGAATGAAATGTTCCTAATTAATGATAAATTTACAAATTTTGAAATAATGCGCCAACATTTAAATGATAGAATAAAAATTGGTATTTAAAGGCGATTGTTGTGTTTCCCGACTGACCATATCATTCCCACCTGTAACCTATGGATGATACTTCAAAGTATTACTCGTTATTCTGTTCTTAGGCTACACCATTGGTGATATTTTTTTATATGAAAGACCTAGATTCCAAGGGTTGGGTATTGTTACTTCCCAACATTTTTTCTCTCTCATAAATACATCATTTATTAAAATTTCCGGTCTTTATTCATTGTTATTCATAACATGCCTTTCTGTTGTACAGAAACAGATACAGATCAAATGTACGTAAATCGACTGAATATGGCTACGATTATGAAGAGGAAGAAGGTAGAATACACTCTCCAGCTGGATCATATGCTTCCTTACGTGGAATCAACTCACGTGCGGCTAAACTTGATATGAATGCCATGGGAAATAACAATAATAATAATAATATTCATTCAACAGCATCTGGTGTTGATCCTGCCACATTAGATCAAATTAATCGAAATATGTCTGATTTACGCTCTGGTTTTGAACGTTTATCTATGCAACAACAAGTTCTGTTAGCTTCCTCGTCTGCGACAACAGCTGCTGCTCTAGTTGCGAGCAGTTTTCAACAACAGCATCAGCAGCAACAACAACAACAGGAGCCATTTCCACCAGCAAATTCTTTATCTCAAACACAAGGACTATCTACATCTATATCTAATATATCGACAACACGTGCTACATGGAGTGATAGACCTATTCTACGCGAATTAAGTGTACAGCGTAATCCAGCTGTTGTGACAAATGGATGCAATGAAGCAGTTCAAACTATTTTGGATGAAGGTGATACTGATAATGTGGTTATTTCAAGTGATCCCGTAAGTTGAGTTCTGTGAAATGTTACCATTACTTTGTATTCCGCAATTGTTTCTTCCACTCACTATTCTAATAACCGTTATTAATCTGGCTCAATGAAAAGTCTTGTGTTTGTAGGTATATTCATATCAGGTCATTGGAAATTTGTATAATGTAATATAAGTTCAGTTTTATGCTGTATTTGGCTATATATACCTCATAAATTGTTTCAATTGGTCTAAGGATAAAAACTTTCATCTAAACCTCATCTTATACACTTCACATGAATATTTATTACTAGAGTATAGAATTGTCAATTCAAGTGAACTTATATAGCAGCAATAATTAGTGTCCATGTGCAACTTGTATCTATTTAATGTAAAGAAGGCCAGTTTCTCAAACCTATCTGTGTTATATTCAAGCTTAGAAGGAAAAGATTAAATTTTTAGCGAATAAAAATATTCCTATGATTATACTAAGACCATAACATTAATCTCATATGTATAATTTAGTTCACATACATTAGAATGAAAAGTTATTCTTCAGGTATTAATATAGATGAGAGGTTTTAGTATCCCGTGGCGAGGAAACTTAGTTGTTGGAACGTTCAGTTCCCTCCCCGAGGTATAGTGAAGATATGTAGATGACAAATGCACAGTACTAAAAACATAGTATAAACGGGTTTTTTAAACACATTAACTCAAAGGTAGGCGCAGTTCAATTCACTTATCGGTTGGGAAGTCATGAAGAGGAGTTTCCAATGTTAGAGTTAATCGTAAAAAGGAAAGAAGATGGGAAGTTTAGCACTAGTGTTACAGAAAACCTTCACATTCAAACTGTTATTTGGACTTTGGTTCATCCTAACCCATGTCAATAAAAAAACGGATTGGCATGTTTGTTTAAGTAATAGGGTAAAGAAAAACTAAATAGTATGAAAGACAATCTATAGCAGGAAGTAAGAGACAGATAAGAGGAGTTTCTACACTTAATAATTACTTTGATCACCCATACTCCCATACGGGCATATTGTTGATTGATGGTTGGAGAATCGGCAGTAAGCCTTGGACCTAGATTTCGTGCTAGTTGGCACTCGTCAGCAAGGCGTATCTGCAACCTTGAAGGAACTGATGTCCCTTCTGAGATTCGAACCCGCGTCACCCAGTGCTACAGTCAGAGACATTACACTGAGCTATTCAGGCTAGTGACTGACCTCCTTAGATAGTATTTGTTGAACCCCGGTAAATTAATCAGGGGGGGGGTATGTAGCAAATTGTAAAATGAAAATTATTACTGTAATAATAAGAAGGAGAAGGAGAACGAGACGCATGACAGACATGCGCAGAAGGATAACTACACCAATAATAGGAAATTTAAAAAATCCCCATACAAAAGGGGACCTCTGAAATCTTAAGTAGAATTCTTAACCAAAAATGGTATTCAAACCCACTCACTTAGAAACAAATTATACTGGTTAAAGGAGCTCATTAAACAGAATAATTTAGTTTATCTAATGCCTTGCAATGATTTTAAGGTCAAATACATAAGCCTAAGTGGTAGGATGGGGTCAACCAGATTAGCAGAGCACAAAAATCTAACAAAATCTAGATTAGTTGATCCTAATAAGATAAGAGTAACACACAAGAATAAAACCGTGATGGTTTCAAATACAGGCGGAACGGATGAAGATTTCAGAGGCAACCAGAATCGGAAAGGCAGGATACGCCTTCATCAACCTGAAACCAATTTAAAAATCGTCTGCACTCAACATAAGGAACAAAATTCGGATTTTCAACACCAATGTCAAGTCCTTTATACAGGTCAGAAACTTGGCGTGTCACCAACAGGTTGCAGACTTTTATCAACAGCTGCCACCTTCGCTGGCTCTATACTGAAGGTAAAATGGCCGGCCAGAAAGAATAAGTAACAAGAAACTGTGGGAACAAACTAACCAAGAGCCGATCGCTCAACAAATATGTAGGAGAAAATGGAGATGGATAGGGCATACATTGAGGACACCGTTGAATGACATCGCGCGCCATGGCCTTGAGTGGAATCCCAGTGGGATGTGACGAGTGGGTCGTCCTAGGGTGGCATGGAGGAGATCGTGTGAGGAGGAGATGAGAGAGTTTGGGCAATCGTGGTCCAAGCTGAAGAGACCGGCTAAGACAGGACAAAGTGGAGATGTGTTGTTGAAGCCCTACATTTCAATAGGAACTCAAGGGAATAATAAGATAAGAAATTTAGAAAATAGCTCAGCTGTAGCACTCTCTACAGCAACACATAATCATACAATAGGATTGGCCATGATGATAGTCGTAAAATCTAATGTAACAGAGCGAAGGTAGTGATTGATAACCAGAGCTTTGTATTATGGAATCAGCTGAGAAAACGTGCAAGAGGAATGACTTAATGCTTGTCACGGAAATTTGGGAAATTCTCTTCCAACTATTAAAAAATAAACCACATGATAAGAAAGTTGAAACTCCAAGTCAATAAAAATGATCAATAGAGATGTAAATTAACAACCAGTCATGACAATGGTTGTCAGGAGACATAATTATATCATTCATGGAGAATTCAAATAAGTTCATTCCATTCTTAAACCTGCGCTGAAGATGTTGTCTAGTAGGACAACGAAAGCTTCGCAATTAAATCAACCAGCTCAGAGAACACAACTAAATCTACCTGAGCTACAAATCTCCTCGCATTTTTTGGAAAATTCTGTTCCCCTTACAGCAAAGAAGAAAAAGGGTCACAAAAATTGGGTTTCGAAATTGATATGAGTAGGAACAGTTAATTGTGTTCCAAAACATCATCTAATAAATATTACTATTTGACCATATGATATTATCCAATAAAGAAATTATAATATGCAAAAGAAAATCCTCAGTGTTAAAATTATTTCATCTATGCTTAATCAAAAAAGAGATTGCTTTTCATAAGCATATGATGAAAATGTGCGTCGGTGGCACAGCAGTTAGGACGCTCGCCGACCATGGTTTGGGGTTCGATCCCCGGCCGACGCACTTCTTTACTTCATTAAGCCAGAAATAAAGCTGGTAAAGAGGAAAGGTTGGGCATGAGGTTAGCGACCCCATCCTGTAAAAATAATCACCACTGCTACAGAAACTTCAAGCCTCTAGCCTGAGGCCGTATGTTTCACGGGGAACGTGAAGGAATTAATAAAATAATAATGTAATATGATGGAAAATACTGCATTTACTTTTGTATTTTTTTCATGTAATCGTATAAGCACGCAGCTATCTGCAAGTGTATCACTAGTCTTTAACCTTTATATACTTTGATGTAAGTAGTATTGGACTATTATTATTTGACTTCACAGTACATTGCACGTCAGTTTATTTATCAGTAACAGTCCATTCTGTAATAAATTACATTCTAAATCATTTTCCAGTCCCATGGTGATGATTCTCATGAACACGAAGAGGAGTGTCCTGTTTTTGTCAGTGTTAGTGATGCATCAAAATCTTCAACTGTACCGTCAAATCCGTCACCTGTAGAAACAAGTCAGAAACAAGTGAAATCACCACTTATCACTGGGCAAAATCCTAGACCAGAAGGAAAACTTTTCTTCATTGGCTTTGAAGAACCTGATCCTGAGGTAGGTAACCACTCTACACATCTGATAATATATATTCGGTTAGTAGAAATTTTGTGATAGAGGTATACTGTTTGTTAGGCAGCTAGTTAGTTAGTTAGTGGGTAAATGCTTGAAGAGCAAAATAAAAGCTTACATAAATGGTCGTCAGAAAAAGAATGAGATCTCAGAAATAAAGTATCGTGAAATGATTTCCAGGGTTCTGACGAATATAAGGCATGAAAGTGTTTATGTTACTACGGTCGATTGTGCACCGTATCCACTGAAGGTATCCAACCATAAACTTTCGGTTATCTGACTCCCTCTTATGATACTTTTACATCAGTTTCACGTTATCAGAGAAATCTGTTATAACTGATTTATTTCTTATTATGACTTTCAGTCATATTCTGTTGATATTTGACAGTCACTGACAGAGAACTGGAAACATACTTTTCTCCATATCTTGGAGTTTTATGATTACTGTACCAATATGTTCGTGGATTTGATTTTCACACTGATGCTCATAAGAATTGCCCATCACTTCAACTGTTGAGCGTCTTTTTGTCGATTGCTGGTGTATCCGTCACATAAATCCTTAATAAGACATTATAAAGTTAAATTTCCTCCCAGTTTTGTTTTTCACAATTACTAAAGATCCTTTCATACCAACAGTTTGATTACTAGTTGAATGTCGCTAGCTTTCTTGCAGAATACGGCTTTCGACTCTGTCAACCGAGAGGTGCTGTGGCAATGTGTCGTCTTGTGAGGCATGCCGAGAAAGTATATCTCACTTATCAAGGCAGTCCATTCGAACTCACAGAGCCATGTAAGAGTTTATGGAGAGTTGCCATCTGAAGTGATGACAACCAGAGGTGTCCGTCAGGGATGTTCACTATCCCCATATTCGTATAATTTCATTATAGATGTAGTAATGGAATTGAACCTAACTGACTTTAGTGACTTAGGGATTGAGTTACTACCAGAGAACAGTTTTGTGGACTTAGAGTACGCGGATGATATTGTCCTCTTAGGTGACTTAACGCAGAGTCTTCCGAACATCTTGGGCGAAAAATCTTCGCATGTTTGGCATACTATTCGCTCTTGTCAATTGTAAGGTGACGCTGAAGGACTGAAGTGAACTGACTCCTACCTTAAAGATAGGGAGTGAAGTGGTAGAGCGTGTGAACCACTTCACTTATTTGGAAAGTTGCATCAACCTCAACGCACTGATTGTTGACTTAAATCTCAGCGCAGATACAAAAGGTTCGTGTGGCATTTTCCAACTTACGCCATCTCTGGCGTAGGTGGGATATTTGGTTATCGACCAAAACATGTGTTTACTGCGCAGCAGTTCGCTCTGTCCTCCTGTATGCCTTTGGGACATAATCATTGAAAGTAGAAAATATGAAAAGGCTAGATGCCTTTAACCGCACATGTTTCTTTATTCTTTCCTGCTCTACGTGGTATAATATTGTGAACAATATTCACGCTAAGTCTAGAGTACTAGACAAGGAGAGTAAGTGTATTGCAATGAAGTTGTGAAGCTACACTGATTGAGATGGTTAGGACACGTGTTCCACATGCTGAACCACTGCCTCTCTCGGTGAGCAATGTTATCTGACTTAGGATAAGGATGGAAATGGTTTAGTGATGGCCAGTCCATAGACTCTTTGATATTTACTTTGAGGCACGTAGAGAGAAGCAGACTGCCTGGTTTTAATCCTGAGGATACTAAGAAACAATGGCTGGAGACTATTAGTGATATAGCTCAATATTTTCGTCACTAGCGCAGATGCATTCACTCTTTGTGACCTCCAATATCCACTAAACCGTCATGCTTATCCATGTTGTTATTCCTTCCCCATATTTTTCTGCTCATTATGAAAGTTTTTCTTTTCTCCACCTTTGTGTGCTATGTGGAGTGTGGCAACTTGAACTGCTACACTTCTGTGCTGAGTTCTATGTTGATAGTCAGTCAGTCAGTCAGTTTTATAAAGTGTATTATATGCACTTACAATATAATAGTACTTCAGCTTGGTTTTTTATCATACATCAGAATTATTTAGAGAGTTACTGGCATAAGAAGTGATGGCTGGCTAATTTATCCTTTGTTATTCTCGCATGAAATTGAGAATGTGAATGTTGATTCGTCTTTTTGCGAGACTCTTCACTAGATGACACATTGATGTGAGTTTTTAATGAAATCAAAACTATGATGACAGTTGTTTAGAACCTTCATAAATTACCTAAAGGTCCCTAGCCTAGACCATCACTTTTTGAGTGTTACCTTGAAAGTAATTCTTCAAAACCAATTCAATTAAGTGATTTCATCATTCACAATATCTTAACATTATCGGCTTTTTCCTACATAATAGTTTTCTTTACTCCCCTCTGACGTATTCATTCATTACTCACTCATGTGATGATTGTACATTGAAATTAAGTGTTTATTTCAAGCAACTCACTAATTATTCACATGTATACATCATCATAATTGAATGCAATGGAAAGTGTTTTTCAATAAACACTGTTTTTCTACTTTCAGTCACGTTTATATATACCTATATATATAAATATGTAGTTACTTTTTCTCATTGCTCAAAACAAATGGTTTGCTGGCATGGATTATTGAAACTCACTTGCATATATTTAACTTTAATATATCTACCAAACTGACTACTTTCTTAATATTCCCTGTCATTTCATTTTAAAGCGTATGCAACGCACTAAAGACCGACTGGAAGCACGTCGAGCTACAGAAAGAGCAATGGTAGCAGAACAATTGGAAGCATTACGTACTACGGGGCGTAAAGAAAAAGAAGCAGCTGATCGTGCCCAGTATGAAAGGAAATTGAATGAAAAAGAAAGACGTGAAGCTGTATTACAAGCACATTTATCTAAGAAGGAAGTAAGTGAAGAGAATTATTTCATTTACCTATACATATATATTTTTTGTAATAATGCATACTTATAGTTATTATTCATATTAAATCCATGGCAAATTTCCGTTTAAATGACCGCTACATATCGATTATTTCGTAAGTCTTAATAACATTTAATATGAAATACGAAGAACTGGCACCAGTGTTTATCACAAATGCAAGTCATTCTAAATTACTGTTTCCTACTGTGGAGATGTGGCTCATGAACTTAAGGACTCTCTTTTCAGCCGATTAGTCAAGGATTCGAGTCCCGCTCTGTCTAATTCAGCCTGGGTACCGGATAAGTGTGACTCTAAGCCTGGTACATAAGAAATCAGTTTCCCGTAATTAAGCTTTTTTATTATTATTTATTACTTTTTTATTTTATTCCTTTACGTCCCCAGTGGAACACAGGGTTTCAAGCTAGAGGCTTGAAGTGTTGGTAGCAGTGGTGTTTTTATCCTTACGGGATGGGGTTGCTAGCCTCATGTCCAACTTACCCTCTTTAGCAGTCTTGTTACTGGCTTAGCGAGGTAAAGGAGTGCGTTGGCCGGGGATCGAACCGTGGACCACATGCGTGGTTGGCGAGGATTCTACCGCTGTGCCACCGATGGATGCTTAAGCTTAGGCAGCTATTTCCTACATTTTGCCAACTGTTATCTTCACACTGTTTTATTCGTCTACCTCACCTACTTATATTGTGTATCTTTCCTCTTTCATGTTTACATTTCGCTTTCTCTGTACAAATTAACTAGCTATCCAATTCTGTGCACAAATGGATTGACATTTTTACTTCTCGGCTGTAAATCATTACTATCTAAGTAGGATGTCAATCACATAATAACCTTGAATTGGACCAATTAGAGGCTAGAAATTAAGCACTATGATTATGTATCAAAATGTATATATCATTTCGTAAATAAAGAAAAATATTTGCTTGAAGGTGTCTTCAGTTAAATGGGTGTTAACCTCTGGATCATGCTGTCTGTAGGCTGTTAAATTTGCCTTCCTTCTCCTACTGTTACACAAAGAACAAATTATCATTCTTTATTAGTAACCTGTCATCCTCCTTTTCTAACCTCTCGTGTTGTTTTACTACTCTCTCATTGGAATCATATTTCGAATTGGCATATAATATGAATTAAAATAAACATCTTAGCCAAACAATCCACTTCCATGAATAGTAGCTTCTAAGATAGTTAACCTAGTTAATTGAAAGTATTTCAATCATCTCTGATGTATGTGTGTTTTACCACTATTGATGGTATACAAGTGGGATCATAACACTTTAGGCATATATTCTGGTTTAAATGACAGAGTCAATGAAGTACTGGTCATAAAAAACTCTTCACTGTAAACTTCACTTCACTAATTTACATTTACCTTATATTAAACATCATTGTTCGTTTTGTTGCTTCCTTTATTTTATTTTAGGCTGCTATGTCTTCTGGATATCGTAATAATAATAATAATAATCCATACCCTGTAAGATCTGGTTCCTCAGCACTTTCCAAATCTGAAGTGAATCTGTCCACTACAACTCCTAAACATAGTGCAAGTAAAAAACCGTCTACTGCTCCAAAACGTGATAGAAATGCACCAGTAGCAGCTTCATTGGATGCCTTTCCATCATCAAAGCCTAACTCCCGTGTAAATTCAGCTAAATCAAAAGCACCTCCGCCAGTTACTACACGTGGTAGTGGTGACGGGGAAGCTGGGGATGTAAATGCTGAACCTGACTGTGATAGTTCCTCTTTTCAAGACACTAAGGTTCACACAAATCGTAATCGTTCAGCTAATAATGGTAATACTACCACTACTACTACTACTACTAACTTCTACTACGGGTGCCACACGTACACCGCTTCCTTCTGGGATTAGTCTATCTTGTAAGTAGATGTCTTAAAGTTTTATTCCCGCTTGAGTATAAATATGCATCTTCCATGTAATTTGATGCTGCTATTCATAATTAATCCTTACAAATAACCGTATTTACTAACAGATATGCATATTTTAAGCGTACATTCAAATGTAAGTTATTCTCAGAAGAAATTTAAAAATCCTCCGAACAATTTTTGTGTGGTACTAAAGTAGAATAACCGAAAATGTCCAAGATGCTGCTGCAGTATTCAGATATGCTGAATCACACATTCACTAGAATTTACTATGTTATTGCAAGTTTGACGATATTTACCATATTGAAATTATTGTTTCCGTGTTCTGCTTCACATCTAATCTTATGCATATACATAACCTTTTTTTGGATATCTCCAACTGTGTAGACCAAAACGCGCGCTTTCTATTGGTATTTTGATTCTATTTATGTTTGTTTTCACAACCGTTGATAAGCAATAGGATACTTTGATAATAGAGTTAATCAAAATTTCATATTTCTATCAACAAAACTAGAAAATTGCATCTCTTAAAGCTGTGCTAGGAAATAAAGCTAAATAAGGGTTGAACTGTTTATAAGGTTTAATTTGGTGGGTGGTGACACACAAACGGTATCCAGAGTGCGCATTTCGTCCTGTATGCGATTGATCAGTTGGATATACTTGCTTTCCCCAGTGAGTCATCGTGTTTCCATCGTCACTTGAACCCAGTACTTATTGTTTCAAGCGCCAGAGCGTTTTCCACTTGTGCGACACTTGGGCAACAACAGAGGACCAATCAACTAAAATTGACTTAAACAAATATTTATAGGTCTGTTTATCAGTGCAGATCCGCTTTTTCATTATGGATTGAATCAAAATCCATCATGTCTCAAAGACGTTAATTAGATGGGAATTCAATTCCCGATTTCTGTCATTAATGTTACATGATTTCTCTCACACTCTTTTCCGTTGGTCTTACTGGTCATAAACTCCCAATAAGACTTCAAGAGTTATTCGTATGTAGGTTAATTTCCGTTGCCTGTTGTTTTTACTGGGTTGGACTGAAAAGCTTGATTTCTGTGAGAATGCAGGTACATCCAGATGACGAGTCCCATATGGGACGAAATGCACATCCTCGATCCCTTTACCAGTCACCATCAACCAAAACACCCATATCAGTACTGATCACTAATTAGTACTGAAGTGTTGCTTGCTTGTTAAGTTTGTGAGAATTTTGATCAATTTCCAGTCCTGATCTCTTGGCTCACGGGCATCCTGGTGACTACATCCTTCTACCTAAACTTTTATTCTTCACTCACTTTCTTTTACTTGGGATTAGGATCAATAGTCTTCTGAGATAAATCATATGTGATTAGAGAATATATATATATATATATTGGACTTTCTTTCCTTAAAACACAATTACTTGAGAATAATTCTTCTTTTTGTATGATTATTTCACTAGCCAAGATAATTTCCAATTTCTATTGATTGATTTCATTTCTCTCTTTATCTGTTTGTGTGTGTATGTTGTTATGCCTTCTCCTTCTTGTTCATTTCTTTTACCATATAGAGTATGCTGATTGTTTCTGGTAACATAACATTTCTTTTCTAATTTTATATGTTAACATTTATCAATATTTTCTTTGAATAATTCAATCGGTGGGAATTTCGCAACTCTGATAGCTAGCTATACTAATTCTCTCATTTTATCTACAGCCCTTGGAAATATTGAAGATTGATGAACTATCTTTGGGAAAGCATGAAAAAAAAGGTTTTCTTATGTTGTCTAAAACACTTCAGATCATAGAGTTTATAACGCTCAGAACTAATTAGATTTATGCGGCTGATTGTCTCTTTCTTCATTCCTTGAGTTCCAATCGGAATACAGAGAGCTTCAGTAGCCGTGATTTTGTTTTCTTACGTGGGGTAAGGTTACTAGTCTCATGCTCAACCTTCCCCCCTTTTCCGTGCTTACTATCCTATGGTGAATTGAACGAGGTTTAGGAATGTGTTGTCTGGGTATCAAACCAAGTGCTCCGTTGGCAAACTTTCCACCACTAATGAATGACCGACGCACTTGTCTCATTGTAAAGTATTCTAAATATTTATCAGTATATTGATTCCTAGTTCCTTATAAAATTTTATACTACTTGTCAGTAGACATTAAACCTCTATGGCTAAATGAAACGTTAGATTCCTGAAGAAACAATTAACACTTAGGTATTTACCTTTCAGCTGTTGGTGTTGTTTGCTGATATGTTCCCTGCAAAATGAGGTTGACTGTCACCAGATTTCCAGGAACTTTTATCCATTATGTTTATTTATTTTTTATTGATTTTATTCCTTTGCGTTCTGAGTGGAAAATAGGGCTTTAAGCTTGAGCTTTGAAGTTTCAGTAGCAGTGGTGTTTTTTTCACGGGGTGAGGTTGAGCTCGCCCCCAACCTTCTCTCTTTAGGGGGGTATATCGACCGGGGATCGAACCTCGGACCACGTGTGTTTCTGGTGTGCATTGTATCCGTGTGTTCATCTTCTCTGTTCCAGTTTTAGGCGTTCATTAATAAGTAAGGAAAATGGTTTCGTCCATCCTATTAAAAATGGTTCTTTAACGTCACTGCATCAATGAGTTCCCATCCTGCCTTTGTCATCTCACAGATTAGAAATGATGAATAATTGTTTCTATCATTCCAAGAATATAGAAATCGCTAAGTAATGAACATTTCTCCAACTTTTATTTATTTTCACTCATCTAATAATTGTAAATGAATTATCTACTCACTGAAATCCATCCTCATATTTCCCTCTTGATTCTTTTGTTTTCCAGCATTACATCGACTTGGTGCTTCAGAATCACCATCTAGCGGTCCTGGTGTACCTGTTCAATGCTTAAACCAGCCTCGTTTATTTGTGAAACCTAAAGCGAAATCCAATCGTACTGTTGTTGTTAATGCCATCAGTCATTGTTGTTTAGCTGGGACTGTCAATGAACCGACAAAACAACTTGCGCTTAAAGTATGTTTACAATGTGTGTGTGTTTCTGTGTCTTTTGTCATGATAATATTTTTTTTCTGGTTCACTGAGAGCTTTTCTAATTTTTTTGATGAAATATTCTGAAAATTCGGGCACTTGTTTGTGTATTATTATACTTAGATGAACAGTTAGTTGCCTAATCAGTAGAAACTTATGCATTGCCTATCCACTTGACACGTTTGCTGAAATCGCTTCACTTAAAGTCAAAGCGCTAATCCCTAAATAGTTACGGTTATTGATTTGAATCATGCTGTTATAAACCAAGTTTTTTTCAATTATTATAATGACTAGATTGCGTTTCTTATGAATTATTAAGGTTGGGAAACTTTCCAGAAACTACATAATTTTATCTTCACAGTTTTCTCTCAGTGTACAACATTATGATGTTATAAAGCATATCCATTTCAAACAAACCGTTTCATTTATATACATGTTCGATAGTTGAAATGTTGACTGGTACATCTTTCGATTCCAGCAGCTATGAGGAGAGATATTACCGTACCTAGGTAGTATTGGTTCACATTTTGTGAGGGTCTGCATAGGTATGTGTAAATAAGTCTGCATAAACTCTTTACGAAGAAGAGTTTATGTCCTGGGAGGAAGATTCGGTCATGCAAAGAAATACACAGATTACATCATCTTTGGGGTTTTTAGGGTCATATATATGCATAAAAGAAGAAGGATGTCAAGGCGTTTACCCATAAGTGGTTTTTTGTCATTTTCATCAACTAACATGTATAATTATGGCAGTTATATATACTTCGATACATGTCTCTGAGGAATAAATCCTTTCAGCCTTATATTTGTGTTAGTCATTTAATGATCGGATTTAGGAAATTACAAAAGGTGAATAATGCACTTACGCTATTGAGAACGATTTTGATCCATATCACCAACAGACTCAAGCCATTGGTTCTTTTTATCCCGAGAACCCAAACCATACGGACTACATCTCCCTACGTGGCTCAAAACAACTGTCAAAGACTTCATGGATTTAAATAAAGCAAGAACAACAGTTTGTGAAAAATAAGATGGTACCATCATTTATTTCGTTGACTTGTCATCAGCTGCTTACAGCCTAAATAAATTATTAATTTTATGTACAGGAAAGTTTTAACGTGCTTGCAAAGTTTACATAATGTCTCTTGACAGGAAGTTCCGAACTTAGTGAACACTGCTCAAGAAATTACGCTTATATAGTTTTTACATAGGCATTTCAAGTTTAAACAAAGTAAATGTATGCATACAATCGTAAAGGAGTTACGTAATAAAGACGAGAGGTACGTAAGATGATGAGTAACTAATAAATTGGGTGACAATGTACTGAGTTCAACTCAAATCATAGAAACAAGAGACAAGCAAAATAACACTATATCAAGGGAGGTGAGGTCAAAGCTAGAGATTACGTAATCAAATGAGAGAGAGAATATAGACATCCAGTTACCAGGGTAAAGAAAGACTGGCAACTGCTTCATGGATTGATTCCAGATTTTGGTTTGACCACCCTTAACTCTTTTCCAACTTTATCCTGTATCAGCTAACATAGCTCGTTTAGGAGGGCAGTGGATCGGCATGCGTAACATGTATCTCAGCTATCTGAATAGATGCAGCTTCACAATGTCATCGATTTTCTTCCCTTCCCTACCTTGTAGCACTCTACACCTAACTTTAATATTATTTACTCACTATATTATACCAATTAAGAAACGAAATTGCTAATTTAATTTGTGGATGGTGACTAGAATCCAGGATGCGCATTTCGTCCTATTTGGGACTCGTCATCTGGATGTACCTGCATTTCCCAGTGTCCAATGTCCAATCAATCGACGGGAAAAAATCTCAAATTCAATTAAAATTGCTAATTCATTACTCATAACTTTGCAGCTGCTAATTCGTTTGAAAGTTATATATTTTCTAAATGCTTCCTTTTGTAAAATAAATTCAGTATTGCGTCAGTGGAGTTATTTTATCCGTTTGTCTTTTATTTTTATTTTTTTCATCACACACAGGAATTAGCTGCTACTGAAGGAACACACTTTATGATACTCTTTCGTGACTCTCGATGTCAGTATCGAGCTGTTTATTCATTTGACCTGGAATCAGAAGAGTTGAAAATTATTTGTGGCAATGGTCCAAAAAGAATTACACACGAAATGGTTAATAGGTTTTTCAAGTAAGCCTTACTTGTTTTTTTTTTTAGAAATTAACTATACACTGTCGATATTTAACTCTCATTATTCAGATGAAATTATCATTTTATATATTTGAATTGACGTACTGTTTTACAACTGAAATCGTATTTATTATTGGCAAGTAATTTGCTCAGTATTCTCTCCTACTGTCACACAGTGGCTCTTAGTTTTGTTGTTGTAATGGCATGTATGTTCTGTTGGGAATTTCACAAAGGAATAAAAATCTCTCTATATTATATGTTTATATTTGAACTCATCATCATCACCTCTAGCTGGACACGACGTGATTGAAGTCCACTTTCTGTTAGCTAACCAGCTGACTATTAGACACGAAGTTATTTTGGCGGATGGTAACTAACGGTGAGATACATGATGTTTTATTTTGGGCTCGTCAGCCGGATGTACCTGCATTCCCAGTGAGTCTTAGATAGAATGAAATGCGCCACCTGGATTTCACTGCTAGTCTCACCATCAACCAAAATAACTTTACATTAATCCTAAGACATCATCAGAGCGTCCGTACTATAAGTCAGCATTTCCACAGAGGCCTAGCATTTCAATTCAATTTAAGTAGTCAACGGGAAATATAAATTAGCCTAATAACAAATGACTACTAGACACTTCATATTCTGAAGTTATGACTAACAAAATGGCGATTTAGAATGATTGACAATTCACAATGTAGTAATTGGATTCATTTTAAATCAGTGGAATTGTGTATTTCGTGTGATTGTTAACACGTTAAGCATACAGGCAATATTTGGGACAGAAATTTTATTGGCAATATTTTCCCCATGATGCTTCCTGTATAAGTCCGTTTTGTAGAAAATAAATGGAAATAATAACATCTGATAATGAATGACTTGAAAATCCACGTAGAAATCAGTTAAACAGACGAAGCATTATTCTTTTTGATAAATTTCTTTCCATATCTAACGGTCATATACATATTCATGCTTTTTTTATAATTGGACAATTAATGTATGCACAACTAAATGGTTCTCAAAGTAGTTACCTGTGTAAACAGAAATTAATTTTAAAACCATTAAACTAAAAAACATTAAAGAGTTTAATCGTCCTGGTTTTGAGAAGAAACTTTTCAGCAATACGCACCCATCATAGGTTGAACCAACGATATCTAGATTTTGAGATCCGTATTCCTAAAAATCCTCAAACTAAGATGAAACCGTTGTTTATTGCTTGCATTAGCCGATTTCCGTTCAGTATACCTTAGAGGCGAATTTTCGTGTATAAGTGTTTTTTTCGATATAGGCAAGGCTCTCTAGAAGAATAAAACTTTGAGTACATTGAAGATGTGTATGGACGTAGGACTAAATGGATGTGATTAACTCATTTCAGATATTGTACAGTTCAATTTAAACACAATTTAGTTCTCTTCTTCGGTCAATAGTATCGTCTACTCATGTTATTTGGACGAAATGTTTATACAATGTACAGAATTCTCATTACAGTCTACGGCATAGTATTTTCTCCTTATCCAGGATCTTCAAGTAAAATAGCAATCTACAGTGTATCCTGTGACGCAATGCTGTTCTATCTGAAGCATAGACTAATCCCTTCTGATATTCTTCCTTCGTCTCTAAGATATGCTCACTGGTAGTTTGAAAGCCAATGAAAAATATGCCCGAGTACATATTATGACTCAAGGACATAACTGACTGGTTAAAACAATAAGAATTAGGGAAAATATGATTCATTATGTTGGATGAAAATTCAGATAGCCCAACGATTCAAACATTTCATCATGAGCTGACATTGGTTATAGAACTATCCGAAAACCTGGGAGTACTGGAGAGCTGTTTCGTCCTAGTTTTGGACTCTTCATCAGTACGCACCCACCGGGGATTGAACCCAAGACCTTCTGGTTACAAGGCTTGCGTGCTCGTAGACTATTAGGCGACTGGGACTTGATCCGATGGCCAGCCCAAGAATTCTAATTATTTTTTTAAATTTTAATTACAGCTTGATTCCACACCGTATTTTCAGTACAAGTATGGAATTTTCAGCATGGATATCGGTAGCCCAAATTTCAGACCGACCATAGATATCGGGTGTGCGCCGGCAGGGGATCAAACCCCGGACCATGTGCATGGTCGGCGAGAGTCCTAACCACTGTACCACCGACGCCAATTCACGATATAGCGCAACCGCTAGTCAATATCTTCGGCGAGCATTTTTCCTCACACCCGACCTGCCTCACCCTACTGGTCACGACTTCCCACTAAAACTCCAGGTAACTACCTACCTGAATAGGGCCAGTCGCCAGTGAGCATCTCATCATATTCCAGTGTTGGTTTGTAGGGATTTGGTTGATTGGTTACCGGACTTCATCATGAGCTGACATTGTTTAGAGAACCATTGGAAAGCCTGGGAGTACTGGACAGATGTTTCGTCCTAGTTTGGAAGTCTTCATCGGTACGCACCCACCGGGGTTCCAACCCAGGACCTTTTGGTTACAAAGCGAGCTCGTATCATTAGTTTTCTATCCCTAGCAAATATCTTACTGATGAGAGTATCTAATCCTAATATTACATCATAAAATCTATGCTTACTATTGTTGTGTTTGTCTGTACATATCTTATTGTCTTATATATATTACAACACTTGCTTTTTTCTATGTCCACAGATACAACAGTGGAGCAAAACAATTCACTGAAATCACTTCGACAAAACATTTAAGCCCTGTTGTCGACGCTGTAACAATTCACGATGCTCTTTGGATTAAATCCGGTGGTGCACATACACTTTTGCCAAGTCATTGTTCTTAATTATATACACTTATATTTCTTAAATATAAGAAAGCAGATTTTACAACTAGAAAAGAGAGACAAACATTTTCCTCAATTCAATTATACATATTAACTTGTTTTCACTTACATTTACCTAACTGCTTCTCTATTCCTCTTATTCTTTGGGTGATGGAATTTTAATTATTGTCTGAATATATATTATTTCTTCATGTTATTGTTATCATTGTTTTATTGTTTATTAATTATGTAATCATAATGATGACAATAATGCTTACTATGCAAATGTTCATATATGATGACCAGGTGATATAGCCTCACTTGTATCTCCTGCTTCCTATATATATATATATATATATATATATATATATATATATATATATATATATCCTAATGTAACCAAGAATCTGTCTGTACTTATTTCTTGTATTATTTTGAGCCTTATATGCTTCCTCCACGCATATACACAGACAAAACCAGATAAATTCAACTCAATCTCCTTCAATATTTTTGAGAATTTCAATAATGAAATTTTTTTAAAGAAACATGAATACATAACTCCCACAATATTTGAATACATTATAAGAGTGCTACGGTTATTATCTGAATGTCCTTCTTGCTTTTTCTTTTTGATGTGTTTTCATAGTGTCGATGATTGTAGGCATAAACTAACTTACGTGTTGTTATTTTCTTCCCGCTTTCCCCTTGTTCTCTTGCAGTACACTTCCGGATTTACTAGATGAGATGAGGTCGTGCTGTTGTTGTTGGTGGTGTTGTTGTTTTCTGCATTTCCCTTTCACATTCTCTACTTGTCTGTCTTTTAATGGGTGTCTTAGTGTCTATTGTTCGGCTTTAAATTATTCAACTATGTTGTCTTTGTGTTTATGCTTGTGAGTGTGTGTGTGTGTGTGAGAGAGTATGTTGCTTTTTCCGGAATAATGAATTCCTTATCTTACCTTATCTACTTATATAAATAAATTGCTTTCCATTTGTGAAATTATTACCGATAGCAAAGCTTATAAAGAAAAACTTTCCTCTACCATTCTTATTGTGGTTGTCAACCTCACTATTGATATTACTATTATTATTATTATTATTTTAGCAGTTGTGATATAAACTAAAGTCGAGATGGCTGAATTTAGCATTTTAAAATTGATTTTTTTTAAAGAAAAAAAGACTTATTACACATTTGTATATGGTAGTCCATGTATGCATAGAATACTGGTGTGTTTTTCTCTTTCCCTCTGCATATTATGATGTTTATGATGACGACGATGACGAACAGTGTTACGCCTAACTTTCTGTGTCGTTCTGCTTTATTATTATTATGAAATTCAACTTTCTATTGATTTTGGTTCTCCTGTCTATCAAGTTGACATAATTATGTATGTTATCTAAAATAAAAAGAAGAGTGTCTTCTCTTGCTTTCGGTGCATATATAAATATTATTATTATTATTATTAATTCATATATTGGCTTGGTTTTCCCAATGTTGTATATCTGTGTAAGCGCAATAGGGACAGGTTGGTATTCGTCTATTGTAACCTGTTCTGACATCTGGTTCTCCTGTTGCTGTTGTTGTTGTTGTGTTTTGTTCTATTTTTTTTTCTAATGTAATTTTCCAATACTCATGAGATATCATGTATGTTAACTACTATTCAAAAATTGACAGTCTTAAATATGGTGACTAATTCAGAATAAATACTTTAGTGAACACTATTTCGTTATCTCTACCGGTTGGCTCTTTTTCCTTTATATTATTCCCTATAACATAGATTTCATGTTTACATTGTGCTTGATTTCACAGGAAGATCTGTCTCTATACCTGTTTATGAAAAGAAAACTATCTCAAAATAGCTTTAAATGTGATTTCTGTAATTAGAAGTTTTATTGTTCTTTTTCTTATCGAGAATTTCATTCATATATATATATATATATGTCAACTTAGTGTGTATTCTGTGTCATTCACCTTTCACTGAATATATATCTCTCTCTTTGTTTAGACTTTTGTATTGTCACAGAATAATGTAGTGAATTTCCGAGTTAATTATTTGATGAATGGTATTTCACACTACGAACCGATGTAAGTTTGTGAATCCATTGAAAGCCAGGAAGCACTAGCTTGAGAAAATGATTTCCAAACTAACATTTGAATGTAATACTCTAAGAGTGGTATCGTTTTTCACATATAACTGATTCAAACCACTGTGTGATGATGATGGCTCAACAATACAATGCTCGCCAGACAGGTACCTGGTCCGCGGTTCGATTTCTGACCACTGGCACACTCCTTTAGCTTCTTCACTAACCGGTAATAAGCACAGTGATAAAGAAAGGTTGGACGTGAGGCTAGTAATCCTATCCCACCTCTACTGAAACTTTGAAGCTCTATGTTCCACTCGAAACGCAAAAAAATGAGGAGAAAACAAAACTCTGTTCACTTTTGTATATTGAAATCACAGTAAATTACTATTGAATAAAATCTGTCTACATTCACCAATGTTCAAACAACCTTGTTTTCCGATTGCCTAAGTTTACCTCATTTGCATCTTGGTGAATTCTCGACAAAGTCCATTATAAACTGATTTCATTTAGTGAAATTATGGATAATTTCCCTGGAACACCATCAGGTTTTTAAAACTCCTCGAATATGACTCCAATTAAAGAGAATGACTTTCCACACAAGAGGATTTAATTCCCTATTAAATTGCCAGTTACTGACTATGTGAGGAATAATCAAAATATTAGCTTGTAGTATTGCCTTCTTTTATAGTGATGAATACTGGTCATAGCTAATTGGTTGTCTGTTAACCAGATAAGTAATAAAATTTGTGCTTCATATATTAACTGTTTTCCGAGTGTATAAAGCATTCTCCTGAAATTCTTTACTTTTCCAACTGCCGAAACGTTCAGCGACACAATTTGTTATAAATTAACTTTGGCATACAAAATATTTTGACTTTTACTTATTTTAATTTATTCAATAAATTACGAAAGAGATTCATTTTAAAAAGTGTTTTAGCATTGGTAGGGCAGTAAAATATACTTATATACGTGAAATATTAAGCTTAATTTATACCAGCGTATTTTGATGCAAAGATATCTGCCAGATTAAAACATCTTAGATATGTTAACATACTATATAAAGAAGTTAGAATATTTATTCAGAAGATTGGGTAAATAATACTTTAAATATAGTCAGTGTCAGATGATTACACCGCACCTAAAATAATAAGAAATTTAGTCGTTACTCGTCATCGTACTTACTTATTAAACTTGATTTCTGAGTGTCTAGCTATAAACTAGAGTTTATCTTCCCTTGAAAGCCCGTATTGCAATGGAACAGCATATTTATGTAATTCAATCAGACTATAAGATGGATAGTTCACTTCAAAGTTGATTGTAGTGTATCGATTGGAAAATCTTTAAAACTATGTTGGATTGAAAAGAATCAGTTAAACAAACCCAGAACATATCATATTGTTCTGCAATGCGATCGCACTCACTTGCATGTCACACGTAATACGGTGGGATAGGGTAAAAGCATTAAATCAAAACAAGGTATTTTGCATAGAATCAACACCAAACACATGCAGTGGAAATGAAGCAGCATCCACACCGGATATATGAAAAACTTTCGTAAAAACAGCAGGGAGTAGAACTATGTGGAGGAAGTTATGTGAACTCATTTATATGACAATGAACAGTAGATTGTGCTAGAAACATCATCCAGTTATTAATACTCCATCAATGTATTTTATCTTTAATAGGGAATTATACTCTACCACAATACCTGAATTCTCCTCTTGCACTAAACATTCCTCGTATTTCAGAATACTGAGAGTGACTCTGAATAATTGAATAGAACTGCTCTTTGGATTTGTCTCTTAGAGAGAGGAGTTTGTTAGCATCCTGAAAGCCCTGTAAAGAAACACCTCAGGTGGAATGACGGCACACAACCAGCTGTAGTGTACATTGTACCTTTGAACTTTTGTTTGAATGAACGCAACCTGACATGTTTAACCCACTTCCGATTTGTACTCCTGCTCCTCCTGTACGGTTACTGTTGCTCTCTCGCTGTACTTACTAGTTATTATTACATATTTGTGTAATAGAATTCGGTCCAGTTACACTTGCCATTTAGAGTCTTCTAACTTTGATTCCGTTCTTTAGTACTTGCACGTAGGCAGAGTACTAATTAAGCTCATAAACGGTGAAGGAGTTTGTAAGAGCGGTTATTGTTAGGTCGAAGTAAATCCTAAGTCTAGCTCTTACACAGCTAACACCTCTGTTCTCAACCAACAGTGGAATTAGATACAGCTACTTGATTCAACCATTTATCTTTAATTCTGGCATAGATTACATCCAGAAAACAGCTTCCAACAATGTGAGTGGTGGTGCAGGTATGTACTCTGGAAGAAGACTTTTCAAGTTCAAGACTACAAACAGCATCGTCTTTCAATGAGATAAAAGATAGACTACCGGAATCGCACTTGATCATTTAGCGATCAATGTCTCTAAGTATGGTATGTGCTTTGCCCCATCTAACTGCAGGGTACTTTCTCAAGATTAGCCAAAAGCTGGTGCGTGCACTGACTTTTGCAGGTGAACAATTAGAAGTAGTCGATAAGTTCTTGTATTTAGGCAAATCTTTGAACTCTGATGAAGGTATAACCGATGAAATCTTTAATCGCACTGTGAAAAGCCAGAGCAACCTATGCCACCTCTTTCGTCGTAGCAACTTTTTGCAATTATATGGTATATCCCTTTTTGAAGTGGCGCCACCTGCTTTATCTTATGGGTATTTGCGCGGTTTAATTGATTCAAGTCAGAGCTAGTTTTCTTAGTTTGTGTATTATGTTGTTTTGCGATCAATTCACTATTCTACAGCAACCGTAAACCTAAAAATGAATGACTTATCTTCCTAAACGATAGGCTATACGTGTGCACATATATCCATCCACAGTAGCTGCACACCTCTGTTAAGGCATTTCTCCTCCACATCTACAAAATTTCTATGAGCATACCATCCCTACAGGGCCCAAAAGCTACCTCTTGATTGAATTCTTAGCGTAATTCATTCACTGTGTCCATATAACTGTGATTTTAGAGTGGGCTCATCTGATTGGTTGATCAAGGTCATTAAGTCCGTTTAATTCTGTCCTTCGTTCGGGTCGCTAATGTTCAAAATTTATTTGTTTTAGGATTTATTTTTGTGGGCATTCATCTGGATTGTCTCGAATGCCATGTCGCTCTCTTCCCTTATGCTACTAATATGTACATTCCCTGAGTTAGCAATTCTGCGATTCTAGCTAGATAAGTTCGGATTCAA